TGTGATGAACATAACTTCTACGAAGGAATTGTGGGTTGCATTGGAGACAAAATATATGAAGAAGAATGCAGAGAATCGACTGCATCTTAAGAGCAAGTTATGCAGGTTCTAGTACAAAGAGGGCACGAAGATGATTGGCCATCTAGAAGAGTTCAACAAGCTTCTAGCTAAACTGGCAAATCTTGAAGAGATAATCAAAGATGAAGACAATGCCTTGATCTTGATGAACTTAGTGCCTGAATCCAATGAGCCTTTCGTGACTACTTAGATTTATGCTAGGGAGACAATTAAGTATGATGAAATCTTAAGTGCTCTTCTAAATCATGAGGTGAGACACCTTGACATGCAAGAAAGGAATAACTTTGAAGCTTTGATGGTGAGAAGGAGATCGAAAGAAAAGAAAGGTTCGTACAAGAAAAATAGTAGGTCTCATACTAGAGGAGTCTCAAAGAATAGGAAGTTCTTGGACAAAGATGAGTGTGCTTTTTGTCATAAAAAGGACACTGGAAGAAGGACTGCCCTAAAATCAAAGAAAAGACTAAAAAGAAGAATGACGACTTGGAACCATTCCTAAAATCAAAGAAAAGACTAAAAAGAAGAATGACGACTTAGAAGCAAATATGGTTGAAGTTGAGGATGAGGAATTTGTCTATGCCCTAACTGCATCGAGCACTGTGGATTATATGAAAGTATGGGTGCTCGACATAGGTTGTACTCATCACATGACTTCTCAAAGGCATTGGTTTTCAAACTTCAAAGTTATGAATGGAACTGTGTATATGGGAGATGATAACCCGTGTACAACTCAAGGAACTAGAAGCATCAGGATCAAGCATCATGAATCATGATGGTGTGATTCAAGAATTGCATTGTGTAAGGTACATCCCAAATCTAAAGAAAAATTTGATCTCACTAGGCACTCTTGAGTCACAAGGCTACAAGTTTTACTCTGATAACAACATGCTCAAAGTTGCTAAATGAGCACTTGTCATAATGAAAATGCCTCAAAATGGCTTACTTTATATGCTACAAGGAAAGACTTTGGAAAATGGAATGGCTATGGTAACTGATGAAGTGCAAAGTGATAAAAGTGACTTGTCTGCATTATGGCACATGAGGTTAGGACATGTAGGAGAAAAAGCATTGCAAGGATTGATCAAGCAAAGGTGTTTAAAATGAGCAAAAACTGGAAAGATAGAGTTATGTGAGCACTGCATTCTTGGCAAACAAGCAAATGTGAAATTTGGCTCAGCTGTTAATCAAACAAAAGGGATTTTGGACTATGTTCACTCTGATGTTTGGGGGCTTGCAAAGAATGCTTCTTTAGGTGGAAAAAGATGGTTTGTATTTTTTATTGATGACTACTCTCACATATCATGGATATATATGATGAAACAAAAGGACGAGGTTCTTAACATCTTCCTAAAAGAAGAACATGGTGGAAAACAAGACTAGAAAGAAGATTAAGATACTGAGAAGTGACAGTGGAGGGGAATATACCTCTGATCCCTTCTTTAAAGTGTGTAAAAATGAAAGGATTACTCGACATTTCAGTGTTAGACATACTTCATAGCAGAATGGGATTGCAGATAGACTAAATAGGACTTTGCTCGAGAAAGTTCGTTGCATGCTATCTCAAGCAAAGCTACCAACGAGATTTTGGGTAGAAGCTTTGAGCTATGCATGCCACGTGCTTAATCGACTACCATCAACAACATTGGAGGGTAGAACACGCATTGAAGTGTGGTTTGGAGAACCAGCTCAGGACTACGATAAGCTACAAGTGTTTGGATGCAATGCCTACTTTCATGTGAAGGAAAACAAACTGGATCCACAAGTCAAGAAAACTGTCTTTATGGGATTCAATAGTGGTGTGAAAGGCTTTAAACTTTGGTGTCCCGAGTTGAACAAGATTATAGTAAATAAAGATGTGACATTCGATGAAAATCACATGAAATTGAAGGAATGTTCAGATGGTGGAGCTTGGGGAACAAGTAATTGTGAATTCACAGCTAAGTAAAGAAGTTGTGGAAGAAGAAAGACAAGGTGATCAACTTGAACATAAAGAAAGTGATCACGAAGAAGAAACACCATCAGAAGAACTTAAGATACAAGATGATTGCATAACCAAAAGGAAGGGAAAAAGAGACATATCCTTACCTGCGAGATATAAAGATTGTATTGCATGCATGGTATATGCATTGCTTGTAATTGAGGCTGAAATTCCCACTAATTTTGAAGAAGTAGTAATTTATGAAGAATAGAGTAAATGGCATGTTACAATGGACGATGAAATGTTCTCCCTTCACAAAAATAAGACTTGAGAATTGGTGAAGCTTAGAGGAAGGAAAGCAATTGGCTGCAAATGGGTTTATGCAAAAAAAGATGGAGTGGATGACAAGAGCTTGGTAAGATTTAAAGCTAGGGTAGTGGCTAAAGAATATGCTCAGAATGAGGGAATATATTACAATGAGATTTTTTTTCTCCTGTGGTTAAGCACTCATCCATTCGAAAATTGCTTGCCCTAGTTGCACAATTCAACTTGAATTGGTACAGCTAGACATGAATACTGCATTCCTTCATGGTAATTTGGATGAAGAGATTTATATGAGACAACCCGAGGGGTATCAAGTGAAGGGCAAAGAAAGATTGGTTTGTAAGCTTAGAAAATCTCTTTATGGTTTGAAGCAGTTGACCAGGCAGTGGTATTTAAGATTTGACAAGTTTATGAAGGGTCAAGACTATACAAGAAGTCACTATGATCATTGTGTTTATCACAAGAAGTTGAAAGATGGTTTGTTTGTGTACTTGTTAATCTATATGGACGACATGCTCATAGCCTTAAGCAATATTTCAGAGATAGAAAAGTTGAAGGAGCAAATGAGAAAGGAGTTCGAAATGAAGGATCTCGGTGAAGCCAAGAAAATATTGGGAATGGAGATCACAAGGGATAAACAAAAAATGTTTATTATGTTTGTCTCAGAAGCAATATCTTGAGAAGTTGTTACAAAAGTTTGGAGTAACAAAAGTCACTAAGCCTATAAGAACTCCATTAAGTGCTCACTTCAAGTTGAGCAATCAACAATGTCCCAAAACTGATGAAGAAAAGATGAAGATGGACGATATTCCATACGCTAATTTGGTTGGAAGATTAATGTATGCTATGGTGTGTACTCGTCCTAATATAGCACACGCAGCTGGAATTGTTAGTAGATTCATGCATAATTATGGAAGAAAGCATTGGAATGCTGCTAAGTGGATACTAGGGTATTTACTTGGAACGAGGGACAAATGTATTTGTTTTGAAAGATGTGATGAAGGAATTTATAAGTTCTCAATTGGATGCGAACTCAAACTTTGCTAGAGACTTAGACAAGAGAAGATCGACAACTGGGTATGTGTTTACTATGGCAAAGGGCCCTATATGCTAGAGATCAATATTACAACCAACGGTGGCACTATCAACCACAAAAACAGAATGCATGGCAATCGCTGAAGCTATCAAAAAAGCAATGTGGACACTGGGGTTGTTAGGAGATTCAGGTGTAGAACAACACAAGTTGGATGTATATTGTAACAGCCAAAGTGCCATTTATTTGGCCAGATATCAGGTACATCGTGCTAGGACTAAGTACATTGATGTATGATATCATTTTGTGAAAGAAGTGGTAGCTGAAGGTGAGATTCGTCTAAAAAAGGTTGCTACAGAATATAATCAAGCTAACATGTTGACAAAGGTGGTTAATACAGCAAAGTTCGAGCACTGCTTGAATTTGGTGCAGTTGAAGCAAGTTTGATCTTGCGATATGGTGGAGCAACGAAAGTTGTTTGATGCCTCGTTATGGATTTCATGCCAAGGTGGAGATTGTTGGATTTGGCATTAAATCATGCCTAAACTAAAACAAGAATCAAACAAGGATTAGGATATCTTGGACGCCAGATATTTGGATTCGTGTTTCCTAGTTGGTTTAGGATTTGGTTTTAGTATAGGATTTGGTTTCCTATATTCTAGGGACTTTGTGTAAACCTATGACATCTATTAGTATAAATAGATGGATGTGGGATAGAGTTTTGTGTGTGAGAGTTTTTGAGAGGCATAAATTTGTATACTTGAGAACACTTTGTGTTTGTGAGTTCTCTTGTATTTGTTGGTAATCCATAAAGTTTCCGTTGTTAAAGAGGTACTCCTATATTGGAGGAACTCTGAAATCCTTGGTTGGTTTTTGGTTTAGTTTACAACACACACGAAAGAATTTCAGACACTAGTTTCAGTTAGCCGGGCAAGACGAGTCATTGTGATGCGTAGACAATGTGTGATTTAACATACGCTTTCCGGGAGCATTGATATGATTAAGTCACGTAATTATTAGTTGTTAAACACCCCAATTAAATTATACGTAGAACAAATTGATCGAAGACTGCAAAAATTCATTCAAGGGTCAGTTTATTTATTCAATGTACCACATTCAAAATCAATCAAAATTCATCCGTGAACCGTCGTACAATATATAGTCCCTCCCTTGATGATATATAGGCTTGGGTCTCTCGGCGGTAGACTTGGTATTGCTTACTTGATGAGACAGATAGAAAACTTTGTCTCCAGCTTTGTCTGCAACTCCTAAGTAACACTGCAAAGTTTGTTGATCTCTCCTCTGGTGTCTATTGCAACTTTTTCCATGTTCCTCATCACTTGGATCATGGTTCTCAGTAGCTCCTCGTTCGACACTTGCTTCCATATGATAACAGGGTTCTTCAACTCGGTTGTGATCAACAATTTCTCAATCATAGTAGACGCCGCTGGTTTTCTTAATTGTCGTTTCAAATACATCTTTGTTAAAAAAATCAATCAAATTGTAGATCACTTAGTCGTTAATATGTATCAAATAATTGCGATTTGTTATCAGGATCTTAGTTGTTATCAAAACCATCAATCTAGTAGTTGTGCTTTATGGGGTGTCCAAAACCATTAAAATACTCATTCCCACAGGTAGAGAAGCTCCTCTAAAAATTCATTCAAGAAAGGTATGTATTACGAAATATTTCTTAGCAAAGTAATGAAGTTGCAATACAAGGACTCCCTTCCTCTACGGGACTTTACAATTGAAGTAAAATTCGAGATCTATGAGTCGCAAGAGTAGGTCAAATAACTTACAGGAGGCATATGAACAGGACCGCTAACCAATATCATTTTGCGATGTTTATCCTGCAGGTCGATCGAGGACTATCGAGATTCAGTCCCACCTTAAATGCAAAGACATGCAGTGTTACTGTATCGAATAACCCACAAGGTGGATACTCATTACCTTTATACGTAATTCCTTCAACAAATTAATGGGTTCTACTCCAAAATTAGCGAGCACCTATCCGTGACTTCTTGCATCAGAAACTTGGTGAACCTTTCTGGCCTCGGCACTTGAAAACTGCCCCACTACACGAGCGTGAGGTATGGAGGCTTCTCCACGGGCAAGAGCGTCCACATTTTCAAGCAGGTACTTCTCTGGAAGCCTGCCTACTACGTTACCCTCTTCGTTTCCCGCTTTATCTAGGAACGCAAAGTGTGGAATTCCCTCAACACCAAACTCATCAAGCTCCTGTTCCCACTTTGTGTTGTCTACGTTCAGCATAACAAAATTTACACGACCCCTGCGTACATTAATAATTGGTGAATAATGAAAAATAATAGTAGATCTACTTTAAAAGAAGAAACTGTGAAGCGTTCTAGTAGGGATGCAAATTTGAAGTAATAAAAAGTTAGAACTTGAAGATCATACTTATACTTCTGCTCAACTTTATAGACATCTGGAGCTAATTCCCTGCATACTTCACACCAATCGGCATAGAACTCAACAACAGTAGGCTTCCCGTTTGAAAGAGCCTAATCAGCGATAAATTACAGAAGATCGTAAGAAACTATTCACATTGAAGATCATGTCTAGATTCATTAACACACATGTACATGCTGGAAAACACAAATTAGATGACTCAAGACAAGGCAATTAGAGTGATCGTATGTTCAAATTACTACGTTCTCCGAGTTAGAGCATAAAAATCCCATTACAAATTACAATTCATTGTGGAATAAGGTCTGAACCTCAGCACTGAAACGGTTCATTTGTACTTAAACGTCTATGTTATTGTTTGAGGGTATATACTTGTCTAGGTTCTCAATCATGCTCATCACAACCGCCTACATACCTCTACACAACACCTGTTAAGCTAGACAAAGTAAAAAGGGAATGGCAAATCGAACGAACCTCTTCATAAGGTAATGCCGCAACGGAGAGGTCCTTCAAAGAAACACCAAAATCGAGCCTTGCTGATAAGAAAAGTGCCAGAGCTGCAAGAGTGGAAACCACCGCTACTTGCCTGTTGGTATTCTTGTTTGGAAATTCCGGAGGGCCAGAGCTCGTAGAGGAACTCGTAGCTTGACTGCAGCTATCACTGCCAGAGCCTGGCTCAACAACTGACTTCTCCTGAATCAGAATAGTTGATGAACACAGCACCAATCACATGGTAAATTCAACTCGAAAAACTCTTCGAACAAGAAATTGAGCCAACAACGATTCAGATACGCAACGATTAACGAAACCAAAGACATGCAGGATAATTCTAAATTTCGGTTGCCCAAATCCTAAATTTCATATAAATGCGGAAATCACGGAAATTCTAGAATCCTGAAATTCCAACTTTCTGCATCAAAACAACAACTTTGAGCTTCACAGCTGAAACCCAGAAAGGATAAATCGGGCAACATGCAAATTATTGAAAAGGGAACAATTTACAGTCGTGCAAATACTGGTTTATGCGAGAAAGATGGGAGATTTTGGAGGGAAAGAGAGAGCGTACCGTCGTGGAGGGGGTTTGCTGGCAAGAAACGGTCGGAAATCGGCGGTGGTGGTTTGGGAAGTGGATAGAGGGTTTAACGTAGCGGGGGAGTGGAGGAGTTTGGAAACATGGCCGGAATCTATGGAAGCCAACTGGGTTCGAAGCCACGCGAGCCATTTGTAATTTGCAGATAATCTGCCAACGTTCTTTTGTAATTTGCAGAAAGCCTATCGATCTTGGTTCAATCAAAATATTATATCATAGTTTGCGTATGATTACTTCTTTAGTTAGCGTGAAAGGAATTTGGATTTTGGCGCCATCTTTAGTTGAGTACGAGATCGTCACTCTTTAACGACTTTTTGGTTTTATTACGATTTTTATGAAAGCAATGGTGCTCCTCATCTGTCGTCGTGGCACATACAAATGCCCTACAAATTGCCAAACGCAGAGCCTCACGAAATCCACCATCGTCGTGTAATTACATGCATAATTAGCAATAATTCTCCTTCATTAGCTAGCAATTAAATACTTCAAGTTTACAACTTACAGTCCAACCCCATTAATCCAGATTTCACACAGACAAATTAGAAACAAATACAAATGAAATCGAAATTTCTATTAACGATTTCTAACTAACTCTCCGGCCCCAGAATCCCACTCACAACCGAAGTTGCCACCAAAACCCCCACAAACTCCGCTCCCGCCACCGCTCCAGCCTGCGCCAACCCCCCGAAGCTCAACGCCGCTTCCACCCCTTCCTCCGCCGTTTCAATCCCCAGCTCCGCCGATTCCAGCCCCTTCTCCGCCGTTTCCAGTCCCTTCTCCGCCGCCTCAATCCCTTCCTTCACTATCACCTCCGCCTCCTTCTCCACCTCCTTCACCTTCCTCCTCAGCCCAAACAGCCCGATGTCCTCCGCCTTCGCCTCCTTTGCACCCACAGCCGCAATCGCCGCGGTCCACGTCAGCGACAGCGCCAGCTGTCTCCGCCCGGATAATGCGAGTCCACTCGGCGGCGTAGGCTTCGGAACGTGCGCCGGGGAGGAGGAGGAGCTGCGGTGCGCATTGCGCTCTGGGTGGAGAGCGAGTACTGAAGCTCTCGCAGCCATGTCTTTCCTCTCTGAAAATTTTGCGAATTTTGATACCACACGCTAACTAACTAAATCCTTGAGCACATTTTTAAATGACGAATATACCCTTGTCACTGTGAACCGCCCCTAGAACGCAACAAAATGCTCCGTTTCGAGGTTCATAAAAGACAAAAACGAGGTTTCATTTTCATTTTCATTTTCCCTCTTCAAAATTCGGGGGTTTTTTTCTCATCGAGTTCTCTACGTTTTTGCGCCAAGAAGGAGAGGGTTTTTGAAACGATGGTAGAAGAAGCATCAGCGTCGGCGTCGGCGTCGGCGTCGGCGAGCGAAACCCTAACCCAAACCACCGCGCTGGAGGCACAGAGGTCGAACGAGGCCACCATCACGGAGGTAGCTCAGGGAGGCGCCGAGTCCACTTGCAACAACGACAGCGCGGAAGCTTCAGCTGTCAGCTCCGATGGAGATCGTGAAAAGTCGCTCGAGTTCGCCGACGAGCTGATTGAGAAGGGCTCCAAGGCGGTCAAGGACTCTGATTACGGCGAAGCCACCGAGTGCTTCAGCCGTGCCTTGGAAATCAGGTTAGGGTTTTTTATTTCCCTGATTTTCCTTGCTTGCCTTACTTAACATTCTTCGTGTTTTCTTAGAAATTGAGTATTTCGGGTGTATGTGATGCTGTAAATATTGTTGCTTTTGTTAATATTTCTTGGATTTTGCTTCCCTCATAAACCCTAACTTTAGGTCAGTTTTGATTTGTTGCGTTGCCGTCGGTTAAGGTGTTAGACTCTGTAGGGATTGTACAATTTGAATTATTCTTTTTCAATTTGCATTGCTTTCGTTAGTCAAGCCAGTGTGCCGGTATACGCATTTTCATATTATCAAAATTTTGTATTGTGCTGTTGAGCCCTGCTAATACAACAATTTAGTTGCCAAACTGTGCATTTGTTGGAGTCCAATTTCTTTGCCCTGTTATATCGTATTGCATTTGTTTAACCATGGCTTGCATTTGTTTAACCATGGCTTAAAAAATTTACATATTCGCAAGATACATTAGTTAAGGTCTTAGACTCTGTTATATTGTATTGCATTTGTTTAACCACTGCATATCTTTCATATTCACGTTGTCATTAAATTTTTGTTATTATTTGTACTCTCATAAAATCTGCATTAGTTAATTTGCAGATTGCCTGTGTGCTTTTCTTAGGTGCTCCTCTTTTTCCGAAGCGCACTAGGTATGCTAATTAGTAATTACTATTGATTATGTCAATAAATCCAGGGTTGCACATTTCGGTGAACTTGCTCCTCAGTGTGTCAATGCGTACTATAAATATGGATGTGCATTGCTTTACAAAGCTCAAGAGGAGACTGATCCATTGGGTACTGTACCCAAGAAGGAGGGCCAGTCACAGCAAGAATCTGCTAAGAATAGTGTAAATGGTGAATCTTCCACAGCTTCTGTTTCATGTAATGCCGAACAGGATGCAGGTTTGAGTAATCAGGAGGGAGCAGCTGATGATGGTGGTATGTCATTTGTGATTCTAGTTGAGTATAATTGTTGAATAGAACATTTCTCTTATGAATTTCTATTGGAAGCCAATCATGAACATTTATGAATGATAGAGCATTGAATTCCAAACCATCTTAACTAAAAGTAAAAGCCATTCAATGTAGCTCTTTGTTTTTTGCATAAATGTTGCACATGTATGAATATGATATCTTCATCACATATAATGTAATGAGATTCTAGTCATGTACTCCTGTAAAAATTGGCATCGTTGACTACTGTTAATACGCATGAGATACTGTGTCTACGTCTCCCCGGTGGCACCGTAGGTGCTCACACAGATCTGCTCCACTCCAACTCTTTGACTTCAAATCCATAGGAAAATCAAATGAGTTATCCCTTCTGTTTGGGAACAGATCATGAGTCTCATATCGTATTTTAGTGTAGGGATAACAAAATCTGTCAAGAGACACTGTTTTGCACATTGATCAACCGTTAGAAAAAATCTAAACTTCTATCCTGTGTTTGTGTTTGTCATGTCTTCTGGTTTAGATATTTGAGGAAACGTAACATCATATTGTCATTGTTTTAGATAGTCATTTAGTGTGTTTAAGAAACTCATGTGACAGTAAATTCAAAGGAAGATATGGAGAAATAGAGTCTAAATAGCTGAGAAGGATATAAGGACATAAGTTTAGGTATACGCAGATTGTATCGGATGATACTTTCTGTCCAAAAACTGATTATTGAGGATATCTTATCATTTTTGTTATCATTGCATTATGAAGTTTAACAGTTCATTTCCTTTTCTGATGCAGTTTCTGGTGGAAAAGACCAGGATGAAGATGGTGAGAATAGCGATGATGCGGACCTGGCTGAAGCAGATGCAGATGAAGATGAAACTGACCTTGATTTGGCATGGAAAATGCTAGATGTTGCAAGAGCTATTGTTGAAAAACACCCGGCTGACACAATGGAGAAGGTGGACATATTATCAGCTTTGGCAGAAGTTGCATTGGAAAGAGGTATGTTATGTACTCAGTTAGTTGAATTGAGATCTGTATATCGTAATCGAAGAGATTCTTGAACTTCACTATAATTTTTTGTTGCATTTCTTCTGAAAACATCTTATTTGGCTTTACATTGTGTCTCCTTGTAGAGGACATTGAAACTTCTCTCAGTGACTACCAGAAAGCACTTTCCATTTTGGAGCGGTTGGTTGAGCCTGATAGCCGACGTATAGCTGAACTGTATCCTTTTCAAGATCGACGTACAGCCTTTGAGTTCATAACTGTTACTAATAACAGATCCTTTTCTATATTTTTGTTTTATTTTATTTGGGTTTCCCCCATTCCCACTGGGTAAGGGACTCACGACCTTAACTGGAGAATTCAGAAATTTTCGAATATGTTTGTGTCTAGAGATTGGTTCTAAGCCTGAGGAAGCCATTCCGTATTGCCAGAAGGCTATATCAACCTGCAGGTCTCGTGTGCGGCGTCTCATGCTTGAATCAAGGAGTTTCTCGGAGTCCACAACATCGCCGTCTGCTTCTATATTGGAGCCTGGTGTCGCGCTCTCCTCAAATGTTACCGAGTCTGATAGTATTGTGACGGATAAACAGGCAGAGATTGAAACACTAACTGAACTCTCTGGAGATCTGGAAAAGAAGGTCTCTAATAATATTTTCAACCTTAATTTTAAAATTAGAAAACATTCAGGCTTATATTTTCTGATTTTTGTATTCTCGAGCTTGTAGCTTGAAGATCTGCAACAGTTGGCGTCAAACTCAAAATCCATTCTTGCTGAGATTCTGGGATTAGCATCTGCCAAGGCAAAAGGGACTGGGAAAAGTGAATCTTCAGCAGTGGTGAGCTCTTCAAGGATGGGAACTGCTGACAACAATGGAGGCTTCGACTCCCCAACTGTTTCTACTGCTCATACGAATGGAGCTTCTGGAGTCACACATCTTGGTGTGGTGGGAAGAGGAGTCAAGCGAGTGTTGATGAACGCAGGCTCGGGAGAATCAAGCGCATCGAAGAAACCTGCTTTGGATTCATCGGAAGATAAGGGTGAGGGCAACGCGTCGTGAAGGTCATGGATTCCGGTAAATGTATGGACAGAATTGAGAAATCTTGGTTAGATTCTGGATTCTAGTATTATATGCGAAGTAATTCCTATTGAAGTTTAAGCTGACTTGTAGATTTTTGTGTGATGATAGACCTTGCTATTTAGATTTGAGATTATGAACTGCTCACTGCCCGTGTTTCCATTCGACTAAAGTTCATGCTGGTTTGTGTTCGATTTCGAAGAAATGGTAATGTACAAGTTGGAAGGTTAGCATACCATCTCTTTCTCATACTAATCAAAGTTCTAGAAATGCTCTTTTTTCAACGTTCTTCCTGGTTGATCATAATCTTGCAAGCTCCATTTACTTAGGGTTTCGTCTTCAGAATTTATCATGTCTATTTACTGAAGAAAAAAGTTGTTACAAGTTCATGAATAGATGGGCGAATTTAGCCTGTATTGTTCGTATCCGGGTAAATTATCATTTGGTTTACAAAATTTAGTTTAAAATTTTGGTCATCCTAGCATTACCCTTCTATCTAATGTACTCGAGAAAAGTTAAAAGGAGAACGAAATGAAAATTCTGCAATTTTTCTTTCATGGTACATAGCACTGAGTGATCTAGAAAATCAACATTTAGATCTTACATGTAAGGATTAACTGATCCTTGTAACGATTAAATCTTATATAAAAGTAGTATTACTAAGTGGGACGTACATTGTACCGAACCGGAAAGTTTGGACCTAAAACTCTTAACGATTGTCCCGCTGGGCAACTAGTAGCGGGCAAAGAACCGGCTAATCAGTCAAACCAACTGAACTGGCGTGAAAATTTCGTTTTATTATAAAATACTTTTTCTTTTGTTTTTTTTCAAGAAACAATCAGTTTGTTTCTGGTTTTCAATTTTCCCGAACCAGGCCAACCGGCACGGGTTTTCAATTTAGTCGAAATCACCTTTCATGGTTTGTTTTAAGAAGTTTTAACAAACCACTTTCGGTACTGTTCACTTTTAACGAAAAACTACATTTTTACCATTCTCTGATACTATTCGTTAAACTTTTATTTGTTATTTTTCATTAAAATTAAATATTTTTTTTTACTTTTTGTTAGTTTTTTTTTTTTTTCAATATCAAAAAAGCATATGATTTTAAATGCAAAAAAGGTCCAATACAAGTTACAGAAAGCAAGTTCAATAAAAATTAGGGATTGCCAAAAGCCCATCCAACACAAATATAAAAGATAAAACAAAAAAACTCTAATCTTCCAGCAGCCACAAGGGTAGCTTAGAGCTGGTTTGGTATTGCTGTGCTTTGAAAAAAAACTGCTATGAGAATAAACGGTTGTGCTGTGAGAATAAGCGGCTGTGAAATAAATCAGCAGAGTGTTTGGTAAACTTTTTTGTAAAAGTGCTTTTAGAAAAAAAAAACAGTCTAATAATGGATCTTTTCATTAAAGAAGCATTGTAGCTCCGTGTGCTTTGAAAAAAAGCCAGTTTTCCAAAGCTGCAAATAGTAGCTTCAGCTTTTTCCTTTGATTTCAACTTATTCTCACAGCAGCTTCCAAAATAAGCCATTTTTTTCAGTTTACCAAACACCTAAAACCCTCACAGCTTTTTTTCATGGGTGCTTTTTTTTTAAGCACCTCACTCCCAAACTAGGTCTTAGCTGCCTTAAGAAAATCACTTCATCTGGAATTCGACGAAAGTATTGCAACACAAAAATGATCAACCCGCAACAAGGAAGAATCTCCAATCAAATTTCGCCATTAAAATCACCACACGGGAAGAGAGCCCATGAAACAGAGGCACCATCAAATGCCCCTGCAAGTAAAACCAAAAACAAAAACTAATGGAAAGGGGATGGGGATGGGGCTAAAGGGGGCCATTTAAAACACAGCACACTGGCCCCAATTTTCTGGCATGCCACTTGGGGTGCGGGATGGTGAAGGGAGGATTCGAATCTAATTTCCAAAACAAATGTGTTATTTCCAGCTTTGAGCAGAGGTTGGAGGAGGGGTGATATGTGAGGAGGAACCAAAGGAGAAGATGACAAAAAGATGGGTGTTGGGGGTTGAAGATGGGGGGCTGCAGGATTGACATCTGGTTTGCCTAACACAAAAACGGTGATAAACACTGAAAAATCAGCAAACAACGCGGAAGATATGACGAAGAAACCGAAAAAACAAAGCTAAGCTACTAAAAAGGAGAATAAAAAAGCAGAAATAAGTAGGGATTGCCACTGACCCCATCCAAAAGAAGGGGTCAGTGGCGAGACGGAGGCTGAAGCGGCTAGGGTTTCTTTCAAGAGAGAGGTTTAGGCTCGAACTACTCCACCCTTCACGGTTTTCAATTTAATCAATTTCCATTCAAATTCTAAGTCTTAATCAATTTCCATTCAAATACTATCACCAAGAAAGCATTAATTTACAACCAAAAACATTGAAACCATAATTATTATGTTTGGCATTTCTTATGAACACAAGCAGCTGATGAATATGTGAGACAGACTTGTTCTTAATTACTTCCTACCATCTTGATGATTTGTGGGTCCATTTCCATTTGCCTCGGATGTTCAAATTGGCTACAATATCAAGAGAACATGGGATGAAGGTGAAACCTAATAAAGTGATGATTAATCCTAATTATTTCCATAACGATGTGTTTCTGTTTTTGTTTTGACTGCCTTAACTTTAACCATCATAGTATAATTAGGTTGTGAGTTACCAACTTTGGCGGAATGTGAATCCTAGCTACTTTTTGCTTAGTAGCTTTCCCCTTCAACCTTATTCTCACTACCAGAAAATACAGGTTGTCTTCACGGATGTTTGAGTTGGCAGGGCTAAAACTGTGAACATATAGGGTTTTGGAAAAGGGAATTTTTAACGAAAAACTCCCGGTACTGTTCACTTTAATAAAAAACCATATTTTTACATTAAAAAGTCATGAGTAAACTGTCGATTTGCCTCCTAAACTTTCACCTAACTTTCGATTTCCCCCTGAACTTTTTGATTAGAATTAAGGACTCAAACTAATTTTTTTAGCCAATTTGCCCCCTACCGTTAGTTTTTCAAACATTCCATCCATAGTTTTTCAAACATTCCATCCATTTTTCAAACATGTGAGGGTAGTTAAGTCATTTCACTCTTAAAAATGATTAAAAACTGAAAATAATTTTTTTTTTTTTAAATTCCCTCTATTTTTTCCCTCTAATTCATATCCTCAATTTTATTTTTCACTCATTCCTATGCATGAGAAATGACATATGATGTTATTGTCTTCAAAAGTATCTAAGTTAGTTTTTTTCTTAAAGCATGTACTACCATTTTTATTCTCTCTAGCAAATTAATAATTTAACAAATGCTCATAGTGTTAAATGTGCAAGAATGCAGTTGAAATATCCATCATTTGATTCTAGGTTGAGTTGTGCACTTTCTTCTCTTTTATAGTAATTAATTTATTATTTGAAAACATTGTACTTTGAGGAGGCAAGCAAAGCTTTGTGGAACTGCGTGGGTATGATATGCTTTTTTTTTTTTTTTTGTGATTTGGTTGGATACTATTGCTAGAAAATTGGAGTACTAGTTAGGATTAGTGCAGTTAGCCGATCTTTGGAGTTTTGATGCTGGTGATTGGAGTAGTTTTTTTCTTTGACTTGTTGTAGTTTTTACTAGATGGCGGACATGTTAACTACTGGAAACTATTTTTATAACTCTTCTACTAGTAAAGTCTTAATGTCTCTAAAATGAAGCACAACACGTAACATGCTTATAATAATGCACTGCTTTGGAGACAATAACACCATGAGCATTTGTCAAATTATTAATTTGTTAAAGAAAATAAAAATGGCAGTACATGCTTCAAGAAAAAGACTAACTTAGATATTTTTGAAGACAATAACACCATATGTCATTTCCCATGCATATGAATGAGTGAAAAATAAAATTGAGGATAGGAATTAGAGGGAAAGTTTTTTTTTCTTAAATTTATTTTCAGTTTTTTAATCATTTTTAAGAGTGAAATGACTTAACTATTCTCGGTCTCACTTAACAGAAATATGGATGAAATGTTTGAAAAACTAACGGTAGGGGGCAAATTGGCTAAAAAAATTAGTTTGAGTCCTTAATTTTCCAATCGAAAAGTTCAGGGAGAAAATCGAAAACTAGGTGAAAGTTTAGGGGGCAAATCGATAGTTTACTCAAAAGTCATTTCTGGTACTATTTATTTTACCTTTATTTTGTCCTTATCGTTAAAACTCAAAGTTTTCAAGCCCTTTTCATTAGTTTTCCTTTCGGAAAATCTTTAAACAATTGCACACCGTTGTAGGGCAACAAATCAGTCGTCAGGCAAACTTTTGTCATGATCGGATTATGAATCCTAGCTAATTTTTGCTTTGTAGCTTCAACCTTCTCGTTCTCATCATTTAGTGTGTTTTGATGATTAGAAGTCACCCTTTAACAATCATCTTCGCAAAATTTGAACCTAGTTAATTAGAAATCGCTTATTAATCTAAGTCTTTTATCAAATAAAAGTACAAGTCAAATATATTGCTAAACACAAAATTATTACATTGTTAGTCAAATGACTGGACGATTCTCAATTATGTTCATTCTTAAAAAATAAATGGTTTAATAATTATATCTTGCAATATCCAGAAGAAAATAAAAAATAAAAAAAAGGTAAAACCCTAGGGGAATAAAAGCATCTTGACTAAAACACTTTGTAAGATTCGAAAACATGTGCCGAAATTATTCAAAATCCATTGGCTATTACTTACTAAAATATGTCAAATACTATGCAAAGAGAATAAAGCGATGGCTTCAACGCCAAGTAATGAGGGGCATTCGAGACAAGAAGAAAAACAAGTCGATGACATCAAAGCAAAAGAGACTGCATATATACAACTGCAATTGGATACGATGGAAAACAAAGCAAGAAACAAACATCCACCCAATCTCCACAGAAAGAAAGAATAAAACTTGGAGTCGGGAGGTTGTTGTCGAAATCGAAATCGAAATCGAAACCGAAACGATGTGCTTCAGAGTGGAATGCAAGCAATGTGGGAAGACGTCGTGGGGAGGATGTGGGAAGCACTTGACGAATCTGTACGCAGGCATCGAGCAGGGAAAGCACTGCATGTGCCGCTCATGGCCTGGTGTTGTCGTACCAAACCAGCAGCAGGGGACGACAGCTACTCAGCAACAATCTCCGGCTTCTGCCTCTGCCTCAGGTATGTACGTATCTAATGTGTAATGAAGAAAAATTAGATTATTCATATTGTATTGTGGAGTGGTGATGCTATATATGTACTATGTTTGATATAATATTGGTATGTTTGTACTAATTAAATAGGTGATGTTCTCTTATCATACAATTTGACAATTTAACCATATGTGTTGGTATGTTGTGAATCTGAATTCAGCAACAACAATAACACATATTATCTATACGTTATCAGACTATCTAGCAATATACAGGGATGTTAGCATCCATTGTTATTAATAAGGAAAACTAATGAAAAGTGAAAAAAAAAAAACTTCTTTTTTAACGAAAAGTCATTTTTAAAGGTATAGTGAATAGTGTTAGTTAAAGGTAAAAATGTGGTTTTTCGTTAAAAATGAACAGTACTGAAAATGTTTTGTTAAAACTCCCTTGTTACTATACATAAAACTTCCCCTATGGCTTCCATGGGGACCACGTATTCAAGAAAATGTCTCAAAGATGTTGAGACAAGGTAATTAGGAGGCAAGGGCAACCAGGAAAGTGACGTAGATGCTTATGTTTTTTCCCCTCGTGAATAAAAAATTCTGAATCCGTCACAGGATGATATGAGTCAAGCAAATTATAGCTTATACTTATCCAACAACCTAATGCCTATATTGAATTGTTGATTAATTCATGGTGTGTCTATGTGCAGGCAAGTAAGTAGCTTGCAGTAGCATAAACAAATGGAGATTTGGAATAATGGTAGCTAAAAAGCCTTTTGGATGAATATCATCTTATCATCTAGCCATCTAGGGTTTTGTTTAATTTAGATTTGGAATAATGATTGTGCAGGTTGTGGTCAAGACACATTTGACCCAACTCCAACCTGCCTTTTCTTTTCTAGTGCTTGGATTTGAATAATGTTGAGGATTACATGAAGATGATAGAAGGATTTTATTATGAAAAAAAAATATTATGTTACGTAATTGGATGTATACATACTTGATTATACAATTCGTGACACAATTTTTATTATTTTTAACCAACTTAATATTTTATACAAGTAATATTAAATAACGAAAAAGTCGAAACTAAAACCTCCAGTTTGAATTAAACGCTGAAAACCACCTATAAGCTCTATTGCATTTTCTTCAATTTTGGTTCTTCATAGTTTGGCATCTTATTGTCTTGTCACCTAGCATGGTAGGTGAGTCGGTGTGTGCCCAAATCAGCCTCCCCAATTCCCATCCTTCTTTGTGCATTTTGCCTAATCACTAGTCACCAAACCACGTGAAAACAAAGGGCTAATCACAAGTAGTCCACCATTTGTATCATTGATTACTTCCCTTTCAACTTAAAAATCATTCAAAAAAAGCAGGTAATTACTATTAAATCACTCACAAGATTCCGTCAGAAGCAAAGTGCGGAGGGAGAGAAGAGATTTTTCTGTGTGTCTGGAACATAAACACATATATGTCAGTATTTAAGTGGAGGGACACCTAAAAAATATTTCTCTCTGCTTGTATAATAACAATGGCGTAAAAGTCCCTTTTTGGGCATATTGAAAAGGCTTAAATGTCAAAATAGTCATTGTGTTTTACTCTATCGGCCAATTTAGTCTCTATGTTTTTAATTTGGCCAAATTGGTCCTTGTGTTTGCATATGTTAACCAATTCAAGACAACTTGCTACAAGACCGTTAAAATTGACATGTGCCAGGCACGTGAGAGGACAAAAACGTAATTTAAGATACACCCAGTAAATAGATATAATGCCCATCTTTAGATATTGATATTTTGGTCAATTCACTTGAGTATTATGGGATTTAGGACATGTCAAGTTTAACTGTTTTTTAACGGATTGTCTTGAATTAGCTAACAGATGTAAACACAATGACCAATTTGATTAAATTGAAAACACAGGGACTAAATTGGCCGATAGAGTAAAACATAGGGACCGCTTTGACATATAAGCCTATTGAAAAATATGGATCCGGATTCTCTTTATGAGGATCTCGGAGATCCGTTCATTGTAAATGGTGCGGTCAGAAATTATTTTAATTTTTTTTATTTAAAATTAAATACAAACAGTACTTGACGAAAACTTATTGCACAATATATAATAAACAGACACGAATCACAAATCATCAGGATTCTCACCAAAAGATTCCAAAGAGAATCATGTTGGAAAAAAAATATCTCGAGACAGAGTTTGTTTGTCTTCCCCTTGGCCCCTACGATACGAGTGACACATCATCACCATCTCTCCTTGCCTTCTAATCAAAATAAAATAATTCATTAGATTTACTCAGTAAAAAACCAAAACATTAACTAAGAAATCATGTTTAATTAACAATTTTGATTACAATTAAAAACAAAAGATTAGTAATATTATAATGATCTGACCAATTTCAAATTTGAACACCTCTCAGTTTCCCAATGTGTCCATGAAAACATTCAAGGCACCCTGCTTTTCTATGTCCGTTTCATAAATGCAAAAGCATAAATGCAAGACCAAACAATGGTCTTGGAGTAGATGTGTTGTTATAAATGCATGAGAGTTCCCCTTTTTTGGGCTTTCAGACACAAATTTTAATCATCAATCAACAAACGAAATACCGCAATCAACGGGTAGCTCAAGCAGTTAAGAACATCATCACTAAACAAAAAAAAAAAAAAAGCCTTTTCCAAATCCATCGGATAGAAGATGATAGAGGGTCATATCATTGCACTAGACAAGCCGGTATCGTCTCACTTCAAATGTAAGTTAGTTGGAACCTAAATTTTAGGGTTTGTAATGTAAAAAAAATAAACTATTCATCTTAGTAAAGGTCCACTAAATTTTAGAGAATGTTGTACACAATAAGACGATATCCCCACTCATTTTCTCCCTCTGCACACTCGTGTCAAAATTACAAATACAAAGGGAATTTAATAGTAAAAAAATTGTAAATATTCTGGCTTTCACTATAAAACCAAATACTAGAGTTATCAAAAGACAGCTCTTGTAGCACATTCTGCTATGACTTGTGAGGCCCGGCCAATTTGAAAGCGCGACTGCAGTTTTGTGACACTCATGCGGGGCAGTTGAGAATTTGTATCGGTCTCACCAGAAGTAGGTTGTTCACGATTCTTATGGATTTTCCACAACAACTCATAATTACTCTATCACTCTTCGTTAAGAATTTAAGAGAATGGTTGGAGAAACTCTTTTAAAGTGAGATTCTGTATGAACTCTTTATTACTTTACACTTCAATGTTATTTTTCATGGAGAGTATTTTTGCTCATCATTTTATTTATCACCGTTAAATAGATTTGAATTTTGAGATTCATGTAGTGAATAAACACAAATTTCAAAGTTTAAATTTATCTAACAATGATAAATAAAATAATAAACATATACCACTCTAAATAATAATAATAAAAAATACATTTATTTCTCATGTTAATATTATAAAACATCTTGAAAAAAAAAAACGTGAGGTGATTTAAAGAGTTCAAAAACATGAGGTTGACACCAGATTATCAAAATTGAATTAAAATATCACTGTATTCCATCATTTGCGCCAAAAAGCAAATAAGGCCCCGTTACAGTTGGCACGCAACGCAATGTTTGGCTAATTTATAATAGGTCGTGGTGCTCTTTTTTTATTAATGTCTCAAAAATAAAAAAGAGCGAATTTGCCTCAAAGACAACGTACCTTTTCCAACGCCAGCCCCATTTCTCTGTCTCAGCATTTGGAGTGGGGGGAGAGAGAGAGAGAGAGAGAGAGCTCAGAGAGTCAGCTGGGAGTGAGTGAGATTCTTCTTCTGAATTCTGGATACCCTTTTTCGAAATTTGATCGAGTTAGCTCTATTTCTTTGTCCTCTCTCAGTTTTGTTGGATTCCAAGCCCCCTCTCTCTCTCTCTCTCTCTTCTCTCCTTTTTCTTTCGTTGTTTCTATTGTCTCTCTCTCTCCAAATGCTGAATTGAGACTCACAGAATATCACAACCTCCAAATTTCTTCCACCCTTCCATTCCCATCAACCTGCCTTTCATTCCTTCTATCTCTCAGATGTTTCAGTGAACTGAAGTCAATCCCTTTCCCCCATTCGTCTCTTTCATGAATCTGGGTTTCTGATTCCCTACTCCAAAGGCTCTTCTTTCATTCAAGAGGCAGATACAGAGAGACATTACCTGGTCGAGAAAATGGCAGCATCAGCGGCGGCGGCGGCAGCTGAGAAATCAAGCTCCAAAGGCCAAGCATGGTGAGTTCAATGTTCAATTTCAATTTAAAAACCTCACCTTTTCGATTTTATGCCGGATACCCATTTGAAAACAATGCAACAATTTGCCAAAACTCACTTCAAAATCTCGTCTTTGCAGGTTCTGCACCACTGGATTACCAAGCGACATTGTCGTTGAAGTCGACGACATGACCTTCCATCTTCACAAGGTCATTTCATCAAACACCTGGAGAGCACATTCTGCATTTCATCTCCTTCCACCACCAAAAATTTCAGCTAACAGTTTCCAATTTTTCTGATATTTTACAGTTCCCTCTCATGTCGAAAAGTCGAAAGCTTCACAACCTGATCACCGAGCAAGAGACGAACCCATCAAACCCCCACCAGCAAGTTGACAACGACGACGACGAAATCGAAGAAGTCCAGTGCCAAATATCCCTCTCGGACTTTCCCGGCGGTTCTGAGACCTTCGAGATCGCCGCCAAGTTTTGCTACGGCGTCAAGATCGACCTGAGCTCCTCCAACGTCGTGCCGTTACGTTGCGCCGGAGAGTATTTGGAGATGACGGAGGAGTACTCGGAGGACAACCTCATTTCGAAAACTGAGAGGTTTCTCTCCCAGTCGGTGCTGAAAAGTTTCAAGGAGTCGCTCAGAGCTCTCAAGTCCTGTGAGCGAGTTGCGCCTCTGGCGGAGAATTTGGGGATTACGCAGAGGTGCATAGACTCCGTCGCTTCCCGCGCCACGTCCGCCGATCCCACCCTGTTTGGCTGGCCGGTTAGCGACAGTGGACCCAATCGGAATACTAATGCGGATACTGTTTCGGCTTCTTCTGCTTCCAAACAGCAGATTTTGTGGAATGGGATCGACGCGGGCGGCGGACGGAGAAGAGCCAAACACGCGGATTCATGGCTTGAAGACTTGGTGGTTCTGAGCTTGCCTCTCTTCAAGCGGTTGATTTCCGCCATGAAATCTGGAGATCTGAGCTTGGAGATGGTGGAGACGTGCTTGATGCATTATGCTAAGAAGTACATTCCTGGAATTTCGAGAACGAATCGAAAGCCTTCGTCTTCTTCCTCAGGCGCCGCCGCCGCCGCATCATCGGGTTTAGCTTCGGAGAGTCAGCAGAGAGAGCTTTTGGAGACGATCATCTCCAATCTTCCATTGGAGAAGAGCTCCAGACCTTCGACCGCGACTCGATTCCTCTTCGGGCTTTTGAGAACCGCTAACATACTCAACGCCTCCGATGCCTGCAAGGCCGCCTTGGAGAAGAAGATCGCGTTGCAGCTCCACCAAGCCACCTTAGACGACCTTCTCATCCCGAGCTATTCCTACCTGAACGAGACGCTCTACGACGTCGATTGCATCGAGCGGATCCTCGGCTACTTCTTGAACGGCTTGGATCAGAGAAACACCGCCGGAATCGAAGACGACGACGGTTCTGACGGCGCAGTCCGATCTCCGTCGCTGATGCTCGTCGGAAAACTGATCGACGAGTTTCTCTCCGAGATCGCCTCCGATGCGAATCTCAAACCGGATCGGTTCTACAATCTCGCGATTTCTTTGCCTGATCAAGCTCGGCTCTTCGACGATGGTCTCTACAGAGCTGTCGATGTTTATCTCAAGGTGCGTACGCAATTCGATACAAATTAGAATACGATTTCAGAAATTAAGCTTAATTAATCATAATTAATTTAGAAATGAAGCTCAAGACGGTGTTACTTGCAAAATATTAATCGTTTTCTCTTCTCTCCAGGCTCATCCATCGCTATCGGAACCTGAGCGCGAGAAGGTCTGCGGTATTCTGGACTGCCAGAAGCTGACGCTGGAGGCGTGCACGCACGCGGCGCAGAACGAGCGATTGCCGCTGCGCGCGGTGGTGCAGGTCCTGTTCTTTGAGCAGCTCCAGCTCCGTCACGCAATCGCCGGAACTCTTCTCGCGGCCGATGTCGCTCCGCCGGAGTCGGCCAGGCCGTCGGTGCTGCGACGCGAGCCAGAGGATGAGGAGGAGGAAGAAGACGACGATGCGGAGGAGGCACGCGGGGAGGAAGAGGACAATGGAGTGGCACGTGCGGAGGAAAGTGGCGGCACGTGGCGCGCGGCGGTGAGGGAGAATCAGGTGTTGCGGTTGGACATGGATAGCATGAGGACGCGGGTGCACCAACTGGAGCGGGAATGCTCCAGCATGAAAAAAGTAATCGAGAAGATTGATAAGTCGGGTCAACCCGGGATAGACGGTTCGGGTTGGAAAAAGTCGTTGACCCGGAGGTTCGGGTGCAAGTTCAAGACCCAGGTGTGCGATTCGCACGAACCTACGGTCGTCGATACGAGAAAAGGACGGCGACACCATCACCAACAGTAGGCCCGCCCGCAGCGGATCACTTCATTTCACTGCCACGTAGATAAATGAACCTTGGATTGGATTCGCTAATTTGGTACTGAGAACTCGACTTTTGAGGCGATGTGTCTGAGAAAATATGATTATGTACTAAAAAGCAAAAGCCGAAAAGCGATTTTACAAATGGTGCAAAATGCAAACTTTTTTTTCCATATCTGCTTTTTCTTTTTTCGTAAAAGCAGTTTTTGGTATGACTTTTGGAAGCTCCAGATATGATAACAGCTTGTCTCTCGTCTGGGGTTTTTGTTTAGTTGATTGAGATGATGAGAGGGGAAGGACAAAGAGAGAGAGCATGCACATGTGGTTCCTGAATATTCATGATTCATGATGATTAGTTCAAAAGATTATGTGTTGGATGGTTGAATTGTGTCAAAGGAAACATTGAGAGATGGAAAGTTAAGTAGACTTTGAAGTTAGGGGGGCCATTTTCTACTCATTCATCATGAGCTCCAGTGTTGGTTTTCAACCTTGTAAAAAGAGAGAAGAAAAATTAAGGTTTTGGTGGAATTTGTTGCGCACGCTTGAGTTGATAATGTCCCACATCAACGGTTGGGAGTTGTCTGCATCTGCTTTGGTGACTCAAATAAGTTTTTACGATTGTTTGAGTCACCAAAGTGTTTGAGTCACCAAAGAGGGCAGTGCATGCCCACTAGCAAACAATAGTTCTTCAAATTGTGCTTGGATAACTTACATGTCACTTTTAGAAACTTTGGCTACCTTCATACTTAATAGAGAATATGATAAACAAGAGTTCTTTTTAGTTCCTAACCAAGCATGATGATTCCTTGGGCCTGGTCACTTATTAGGAACTTGGTGCAAGCACCTAGCATCAGGAGTTATGAGGATGGGCTTGAGATTCTAATCAACTTCTAGGTGGATTTAGCCGAGCCATATAGAAAATGGATAAATAGATGAATCAAGGTTTCCAATGGCGTTATGGCTTAGTGATATTCTTCTTTCTTTGTAAACTAAAGGTTTCAAGTTTACATATTATGTGACTTAGCCAAACTGCTAAGTCTGATTTGAGGCATGATTACTAAAATTAGAATCAGAAGCAAATGTTGCACGTAGAGAAAAGCTCACAAAATTGAGGACTACACTTCTTATTGGACCAATTCACCAAGCAAAAAAAGATTGCACTTATCCTAAATCCCAAGTTCGAGTCCATGGGCTCATCATCGAGGTGAGGGCTCTCGAGCTGCTGATTCTTGGACTATGTGTAGTATTGGCAAGAATAGTACAAATAATGCTCGGGAGGTCGATTTTAGTGGTCTACCCCTTAAAACTAGGCTACTCCAACTGAGTTTCTAATATAAATTGAGAACAAGGTTACAAATAGTGCTCAATCAAAATAGTACAGTTTCTCTCTCAATTCATCCACCCCCTCTTTACGGAAGACTCATCCCCCTTTTATAGACATTCTTCTGAACTTTCAGACCTTATGTTCGAATGTATCTCTTCCTTTACATTTAATGTGCCCACTGGCAAAGCTACATAGGGGCAAGAAGGGGCGCCCGCCCTTCCGGTCGTCGGAAATCACCTTCCCTTAGAAACTTCGTGACTTCGCCACTGAATGTGCTGAATGCACATACTAGACTGGCTAGCTATCTCTCTATTCTTAGGCCGACATGTGGCAATGAGGGGACACTAGAGTACAGCCACTTGTGTCTTTCTTGGGGTGACGTAGTCAAGCACCTTACTCAACCCTGGGTTGGTGAGAACTTATATCCGAGCGTCCTACCTGTCAACCTTTATGTTCCTTCATAGGCCAATGTTCCCTTGTTTAGGCTTGCCCCCTCTATTCCTGGGACCTCGTGCCATAAAGCTATTAGTAGCCAACTTGCCCTTTGGTGCTCGAAAGCGCTTTATGAAAAAGCACTCGGCTTGACTACTAATAAGATAGACTTCTTGAAGCACTCGACTTCCTCTTTCCTTTGGACTTGTGTCGCTATGGGTCTGTGTTCCTTTGGGGCTTGTGTCCTTATGGGTCTGTGTTCCTTTAGGCCTGTGTTTCTTTGGGGCTTGTTGGGGTCGGAAAGAACCATCTGTTAACAATCACTTTAAGTGTGTTATAGAACCCAAAAGAACTTTTAAATTTCTTTACCTAACATGATTAGAAATACTTTTAGTGATCTGAAAACGCTTTTTTATATTAAAAAGAACTTCCAAACATGTCTATGTCTTCATGCAATAACGTGTGAACTCCACCTCGTCGATATTTAAGCCGAACCACATCACGCTAGTGAAGCCCAAAGTCCAAAGTCCAAAGTCCTCATGTTCGGACAAAGCAAAGCCCAAGTGTCCTCATATCAAAACCAAGGCCCATGGGCCATGACTGCGCTCTATTCGGCCGAAATGATGGCCGATTCGTAAATTCCCCCAACACCGAAAACCCAAAACCCTAACCCTAATTGAGCCCTATAAAAACAGCACCATAACTGGTTCACGGAGACCCATCGCAAGCTGTCGAAATGGCGGTGCCGTTTTCTTCCTTCTCCTTTTCGCTTCTTCATAGCCATTACTCATTTGGTTAATCATTCTGATTTTGATTCTTCTGTTGATTATTTGCTCCGTTTTTCCCAAAAAAATAATCTTCCCTTCTTTTTGGTTCTGCTTCTTCGTTATGAAATCTTGATTTTTATTTTTTTTGAATTTGTTTGGGGTTTTCTCAGTGATGATCAACAACGATGACGAGTCCGATCCATTCATATATAAAATCGTGACGACAAAACGAGGCATTTGTCTGAGAGATTAACACCCAATCGCCATTTTTTCCATCTTTTTATCTGTTGCTAATTTTTCTGGGATTTTATAAATTTGTTTGGTTGGGATTTTGAGAGTAGGCATGTGTGTGGATGAACCATTCGGCGTTCCCTTCTGAATTTATCTGGGTTGCGGTTGATTTCTTGGTGTTTTTTTTTATTGTTTTTGAAAAAGCAGGCATAGTGATGATGTGTATTTTTCTGATTTATTCTTGATGAATTAATTACCTCCTACTCATACTGAATGCCTGCTACTCAAATTTTAATTTAATTTTAAGTAAAGTTTTGATCCTTTATTTCAAAACTGGGTGAAAAGTGTTTTTGTTTTTAATTCATTTTTATTTTGAGTTGGTGTTCGAGTATGACGCAATCGCAACTGTTTAAATAGGAGGAGATAGAAGGAGGGAGAGAAATCCATTTAAGTATTTGAGAGAGAGAAGGATGATGAGGTAGCAATGATGATAAAACTCAATGTACAAGTCTAGTATTGCCATGAATTCGCATTAGCAGCATTTATTTGCTACAAAATACAAAATTAATGCAGTAATTGGGTTTAGTATTGCCATGAATTCTGAAAATACAAGGAATCTGCTGATATTTAACCAAGGACTTCAGAAATCCTGGAAATAATTCAAGGTTTTGAAACAATGCCATAATCCACATTTGGAACAACTAATCGCTCTAAAATATAGATTGGATTTGGATCCCTGGGGCCTCAGAAAATCTGCGAGCCTTGAAATTTGGGAAGTGGTTTTCTCCATTAGGGGAAAATCGCTATTAGGGCAATTTTGATGTCCTCCGACTCTTGGTGCATATCATCTGTTTGATGAAATGCTTGAATGAACATTAAGCTGCAAATGATCTTGAACTCCTGAAAATTAAGCTGAAATATGACATGTTATGGAAAATTTTCATGGATTTCCATAGTACAAGTTGAATTGGAATGATGACAATGAAAAGGGGCACTGAAAGGATATCTGAAATTTTGGATGCCTTGATCTTTAGAATTTGAGCAAACTGAAATATCCATTCTTTCGAATGTCGGAAATTTAAATATAGAGTGCTACTAATTTAAATATAGAGTGCTATAGACCCACCTCAGTGTCTTATTTTCCCACCAACATGATAATCTAACCCACCATACAAAATTAAAAAAGTAAAATGTTATTTTCCCACCCACCATTATTCCCAAAATAACCATAATATTTTTTTTTAAATAACTCTAATATATCTTTAAATAATATTATAATTAAATAAATAAAAATAGAAAAAATGAAAGAAAATGCAAGACCTAAGACCTAGACATTTATCATCTCCTTCACACCTATCGCCGTCCTACAGAGACCCCGTACCCCCAAACCACTCTTCTTCCTCCTTTTTTGTCAAAACCGCACATCTCACACTCAATTATCTTTTTTCTCCATTGAAGTTTCTCGCCTTCGTCTAGCACACGCTCATTCCTTCCACCAACCTTTCCCTCGATTCTAACCCAAATCTTTCCCAACCTCTTTCCCCCAAAGATATCACACCCCACCCACCATTATTTATTTATTATTTTAAATTATTTTTTGTCTTTTCAAAATTTTAGTATTGAATTAAATAGGGGTTTAAGAGTCTTCTTTTAAAAGGATAAATATGTTATTAACATTTTCATTAAATGGTGGGTGGGGAAATAAGACACCGGGGTGGAAATATCACCACTCTTTAAACAATTCCTTGCATATTATCAAAAAATGGAGAAGAAATTATATAGTACTCACACAGCAGACCACACCTCAAAAGAACAGATGTCCAAGAATAAAAATTATATATATACAAGAACATGGCTTCGCCCGGGTTCGAACCGGAGACCTTCAGTGTGTTAGACTGACGTGATAACCAACTACACCACGAAACCTTATTGGCGATTCTTTTTCTACAATGCTATTTCATTGTAGCGTTTAAGTTCTGTATCTCAATATCTATTTAGGTACTCTTTCGTCTAATATCGATAATTCAGAACGTTGAACAAGAAGGCCTATTAGCTCAGCTGGTTAGAGCGTCGTGCTAATAACGCGAAGGTCGCAGGTTCGAGACCTGCATGGGCCAATTTAGTTTTACGGTTTCGGTTATTAAGCCTGACATTTGAGAGAGCGAACTGTTTTAAGGTGGCAGGTTCGAAACTTCTATGCTCTTTATTTTTGGGGGTTTTAAATGGATTAATGTCACATCCCCCTTCATTGATTGAATTGTTTTAGAGTCTCTAATAATATCTTCTTGCTTTTTGGGAACAAGCTGAAGTTACAACGATAATCCTTTAAGGATATTTATTGATCACAGTACATGTATTTTTTAAGTTTACTAAGAAATTTTGAAAACTAAATACCATTATGATGATAATGTTGTCCTAATGTAGTTACTGCATCAACTACCTAAACCCTAAATCCGAAGTTATGCGTGAATGATAGTTGTGAAAACTTCGCCCTTGAGGTAGTTGATATAATTCTCCAAGAAAATTGTGCTTTGCCATTAATTATGTTGATGAGAACTTGTATATTTCCCTCCACTTGAACATTATCCAGACCCTAGGTGTTAATATCTAATTGTCTATCTACAATATAGATTGTAGATAATGACACCTAGTTGAAATTGAGAGCGAAACACAAATCTTTAACGAATAATCCTCTAACTTTTTCATTCATTATGTTTTAGTAAACGTTAAATAGGTCAAAAAATTAGAGCGAGACTCCTACATTTTATATTGTCATTCCGGATAAGTAACCATGTACTAAGCCTAAGGTAGACAAATAAAACGTTGAAGTTAACCTGTGGGGTAGGAGGCCAAGGATATATGAACTTGCTTGTCTGACCACTAGTATCTTTATCCCAAATGAAAAACTTGCCACTTGGCTTCCAACACATCCAAACCCTCTACCTTCATTCCACCAATCACAGCAAGCCTTATCCTATCCATTTTATCTTACTCCCACCAAATAACTCCCCATTTGCCACACAAAAACGCTTCCAAATGCTCAAATTATTGTGTGAGAGATCACAAAAAAATAGTGAACACAACCATGGCAGCCTCCCTCCAAGCAGCTGCTACGCTCATGCAGCCGACCAAGGTCGGCGTGTCGGCGAGGACCAGTGTGCAACTGAGGTCCTCTCAGAGTGTCTCCAAGGCCTTTGGCTTGGAGCCATCTGCTTCTGCTAGGCTCACTTGCTCTTTGCAATCTGATCTCAAGGACTTGGCTCACAAGTGCCTTGATGCATCCAAGATTGCTGGATTTGCTCTTGCTACTTCCGCTCTCGTCGTTTCGGTATGACATGCTAATTCCATTTCACTCCTTAGTTTCTTGCTTCATGTGATTGAAATTGTGGTGTAGAAGTAGAACAATGACTAAGTTGTTTGCATTTGAACTTTTGTGAATTCATGTTTACTAGTACTTACTCGTTAATATGAACTATAGTTAGGCGGTAAGTTTGGACTAGTTGAATACGCAATTGTGTAGCAATATCGACATGTTCTCCATTAATTTGTTAGAATTGGATCGTCTCACCAGACGAGAGTAATGTTCGTTTTAGATATATGACATGTTATGTTGTTTGGATCACAAGCTAAATCGCATGTCATATGTACGTATGCTCATCTAATAGTTGAGATTGAAAACCTATCAAACATAACGCAGCATCACTTGATTTTATAAAGTATGGATATAAATCTCACTATTTCAATTTAGACTGACAGTTTGACAACAACTTAGGTAACGTGATCATCGGATTCCTTTTTATTATTAAGTAAGATTGACATTTGGTCATTCTTGGCCAACACTTTGTGTTTCAGGGAGCAGGTGCAGAGGGAGCTCCAAAGAGGTTGACCTTCGACGAAATCCAGAGCAAGACCTACTTGGAAGTGAAGGGAACAGGAACTGCTAACCAATGCCCAACCATCGACGGAGGATCCGAAGCATTTGCCTTCAAACCCGGCAAGTACAGTGCCAAGAAGTTCTGCCTAGAGCCAACATCCTTCACTGTTAAGGCTGAGAGTGTGAACAAGAACGCTCCACCAGAGTTCCAAAACACCAAGCTCATGACCCGCCTAACCTACACCCTCGATGAGATCGAAGGACCTTTCGAAGTTGCTCCAGATGGCTCCATCAAGTTCGAAGAGAAAGACGGAATTGACTACGCTGCAGTGACAGTCCAGCTCCCGGGAGGCGAGCGCGTGCCCTTCCTCTTTACCATCAAGCAGCTGGTAGCCTCTGGCAAGCCCGAAAATTTCACGGGAGAGTTTCTAGTACCATCATACCGTGGATCCTCTTTCTTGGACCCCAAGGGAAGAGGAGGATCCACCGGTTATGACAATGCGGTCGCACTGCCGGCAGGAGGCAGAGGAGACGAGGAGGAGCTGGCAAAGGAGAACACCAAGAATACAGCAGCATCGAAGGGGAAGATAACACTGAGTGTGACAAAGACCAAGCCTGAGACTGGTGAGTTGATTGGGGTGTTCGAGAGCCTTCAGCCATCCGACACTGACTTGGGAGCCAAGACTCCAAAGGATGTCAAAATCCAGGGAGTTTGGTATGCTCAGCTTGATTAGTTTCGTTTTCCTCTATGTATTAATGGTGATTCTGGGTTTCAGATTTTGCTATAAGTTAAAAAGGTGTTGCTCAACTCTCTTTGTAACCCAATTGAACAACAAGCACTGAGATCACTCAGATCATTATCTTCTTGTATATTATCATGCCTATTATCTTGTATGTATTATCTTTCTTGTACATTATCTTTTAAGGAGTCAAACTTCTTTAACGGTAAATCATTATACGTCAAAATTTGACATGCGTAAAAACTGTTTCTTTTATAAATGCGTCAGACAACGATTTGCTGTGAAAAAGTAACGAGCAATATTGATTATAATAAATTATGATCATCGACATCATCTTTTTACGCTAATTGCTTTCTCATATCCTTTTATGTGGTTGGTGAGCCACACAAATTGGACATTTGGACTGAGTGACATGCATTTGGTAGTATTCTCTTCAAGATTGTCAAACTTTATTTATTTATTTTTTAAATGTGTGATTATAATTCTCTGTGTTTTGTATGGCAAAACTTGAAAGTAATTATATTATATTCATATATGAAATAATATTTAAACCCTCTATGAAAGAGACCATTGAACCATGATATTTGGGAAATTATTGTATATTAGTTTAAATGAAAAGCATCAAACATTTAATTAAATATTAGTTCTTCAATAGACATTGTCTCAATTTTTATAATATTACTAGTAAAATGATGTGATTTGGGTAAAAGATAACATGTTGACAAAGCTACATTCATATAGACTTTAAAAATAATAAAGAAGAAAAACTAAAAAAAAAAAGCAAAACTAATGAAAAGGGTTTAAAAACTTTGATTTTTAATGATAAAGACAAAATAAGAGGTAAAGTGAATAGTACCATGATTGACTTTTTAGTGTAAAAATATGATTTTTGGTTAAAGTGAATAGTACCGTGAGTTTTTCGTTAAAATTCCTAAAAAAAATGGTTTAGTAATATTTTTTTTGTCGCTCATAAGTAGAGGTCTAAATTTTGACTTACATGAATGATAAAGATGTATAATATCACTGTTAAGTTTGAAATCTAATTATATTTGACTTATCGTCTTTTTTCACTTGTAAGTGATAGTAAAGTCGTAAACCAACTGGGTTGTGTTCATGAAGATCAAATACATGTTAAGTGAGAAATGAAGTTTGTTAAGTTTCATTTGAGCTTTGTACTACTTTTTGGTTCTTTTGTATCCAACCTGTATTAAAATACACTCGGCAATTAATCATGCAAAATAAAACAAAGACATATAATAGCAAATTTAAAGCCAATTCCCTTACTTTATACGCTTTGATTCAAAGAACCTTATTGAGGAAAAAGAAAAAGAGAAAAAACACTATTTTTATCCACCTAATAATTTTTGGGTTTTGCCCTAATGGTTGAGAAATTACGGGTACATCACCACATGCCAATGAAATAAGAATATATGAATAAAATTTATATATGTTTTTATTTCATTGGTGCACAAACATCATTGTGATTGTATATATGTGTCATATAGTCACTCTCTATGATTATATTTTTTAAAACTTATTTAGAATTAAACCCTATGTAAATACAAATATAAACGGAGTAATAATATCGCTTATAATAAAATTAATAATAATAATAATAATAATAATAAATTAAGCGGGATGAAATGAAGGAGAAGATGCCGCACTCCCTGCCTACCCGATAAGAACATTATACCATTTATGCCCAAATGATGGAGGAGATGCCAAAGCCAAAGCCAAAAAACCCACCAAAATCTGCGTACCCTTTACGTCTCTCTCACTTTTGTTTTCTTTTCTCCCCAACACTCCTTTTCCTTGACAATTCACCACAACGATTCACATTCCCATTACCATTCTTCCCACCAAAGCAAGTCCTCCTCTCCCCCTTCAAAACCCAGTTCCCATATTTCCCCAAAATTATTTGGAACTCCATTTTTGCCACAACTATTTGGTCATGTGGCTGAGAAGAATTGTTCTTGAATTTCGTTTACCATGAGGAGTTCTTGTTGTTGTTGCTGCTGCATGCAATTGCAAGCATGGATGAACTGCCGGGGTCGTTGGGAACCAGCGCCAGCTTGGCTCTGCGATTCGGGCAGACCATCTTCTCCACTGCCTCCCTTCTCTTCATGTGCTTGGACGTCGAGTTCTACAGCTACACCGCCTTCTGGTACTTTCGAATTCTTCGAATTTGGAGTTTCTTAGTTGAATTTCATCGGACCCTTTTGTGATTTTGACTTGTTGTTCAATACCCATGTCTCTGTTTCTGAATTTGATGGCAATTCTGTTTTGATTTCTTGGGCTGGATATTGACTTTTGGCTTTGTTAAGAACTGGAAACTGTGTTTCTGTAAAGATCATATGGAGATTGAACTGGTTAAAATTTAACATATTCTATACATGCAAAAGATTATAATAATATATAGTTGGGCTTACTGATGAAGAATTTTCAGTATATGCAACTGTTTCTAAGTTTCTCCTAATTGAGCAAGTAAATATGTTGGAATTTTTTGTAGAGAATGAACTGTTTAGGACTCTGTAATTCACTATCGAATTTTAGCAGCTTTGAAGTCATCAGAACATTGTAGAGCATCAAAACCGCTTCTTGATAGACTTAACTGGTTTTATGGCCCGTAAGATGTGAATCTAGATTCGAAACCAAAAACTCAACAGAGAATTGGAAGCAAAATCTTTCAGCCTTCAAACATTTTAAGCGTAAACTCTCATGGAAATGAAAAGACTCTGTAAACTCTCATTGTAGAACATTGTGGTATCATCTGCTCTTAGTTGACTTTTTTTCTTTTTCTCACAAAGCTAATTTTGCACGTCTGTTTTTGTTGGTCATTGACTTAGTCTTTAAGAATTTATGCTCTAATGACATGTCCAAAGAAGTCTACTGTGTTCAACTGTATGTGTTGCTTCCATTGCTCCAAATGTACTTCCAATCAATAACCTCACCCTGAACTTGTCCTTATTGGTGTCTTCTCGAACCTGTAAAATATTACCATCTCTAAAAGTCTTGTGGCGAAGAGCTAGAAATTTTAACAGTTAAGAACTTTTCAACTTCTAAAACCTAACAAATTCAAGTCACTTTTCCTGCAACGTTTGTTTCTTCATGTTCTAATCTGTAAACTGAAATGATTCTATGGTGCTATTTGAATTGTCCATTATAGCCATTACCAGATTTATGTTGTCTCGGTTATTTCACGTTTGCAAAATGAAGGAGATGAAAGTGCTCAACGAGAACTTTTTTATTAATATATAGTAGTAACTCTTACCATTGCTTGCGTTGCAGCTATTTGGTGACAGTAATGGGTTTGGTAGTTCCATGGAGCATGACGTTGATGATCGTGGATGTCTACTCTGTCTTCTTTAGATATTTGCCTCGTCGACCAAGAATAACTACAATAATTATTTTAGGAGACTTGGTATGTGTTTTTGTCTATAAACTTATTTATCTCATTAAGAACAAATTCTTCGTTTTCCCAACTTAAGAATATATTATGTTCGTTTCATCACAGGCGTTGTCATATCTCTCACTCGCTGCAGCTTGCTCAACGGCTAGTACCACATATCTCCTACTTCATCTCGGTAGATCCTACTGCCCTGCCAAGTTATGTACTAGATATCAGTTATCTGCTGCAATGGCTTTCCTTTCTTGGTTTCTTTCACTAGGTTCCTCTCTATTCAATCTTTGGCTTCTTCCTTCTTTGTAAAAGTCTTGCCGGCTGTTGTGTCATATACAGAAAATGAGCTCCGCCGAAATTGAAACAATGGTGTCATATGCAGAAACTTTTAGGAGATACAAATAGGGTCGTCTGAGATGAAGCTTTGAGAAATGTATATTACAAAGTTATTTTGAGTTGTATTTTATGAAGAAGGAATAAGTTGTTTTTCTAATCACTTGTAAATGCAAGTGACACCTGTAACCATATTTGCAAGAAGTTTTTGTTGAAATATCTCACATCGACCGTATTTTTGTTAAAATAAAAATTTTAATACTCTTAACTCTACTCCAACTAATATTGAAGCTTTTTTTGTATAAATTCCTACACATGTTGGACTGTGCAAGTGATATTTAACAAGTTGAGAACAATATCGATGTTGTTGGAAGTGGGCATTTGACCCGTCTCTCTGATAATTTTACATGGTATCAGAGCCAGGGACGATGATGGTGGGTCCCTTGGCCTCGCGTGTAGGGTGAGTTCCCTTGGCTCCACGTTACGTGTGACCCACTAATTGATCCCACGTGAGGGGGCATGTTAAAATATACTCCATGATGGTGAGTCCCTTGGCCCCGCGTGTAGGGTGAGTTGTCTTGGCTCTATGTGGTCGCCGATGTGTGAATCTCTTACGTGTGACCCACTAATTGAGTCTCACGTGAGGGGGCGTTGAAATATCCCACATCGACTGTATCTCTGTAAAAAGAAGAGTTTAAATATCTTAACTCCACTCCAACTAATACCGAGGTCTTTTATGATAAAACCCCACACTTGACAGATTGTGTATGTGGTAATTACCAAGTTGATGACAATATCAATGTTGTTGGAAGTGGATCTTTGGGCCGTCTATCCGATAATTCAACAACTTTACATATGGGTCATTTGGTTTAGAACATATAACACTAACATTATGAATGGCACCATTGTGGGTTGTACTTTCTCTTATTAGACTGTCAATCTAAATCATACATTCAAATAAAAATTAATAATATGGCTTTGTTTTTTAGGCGATGTCCATTTTAGTGAAGAGGGGTTCAAATTAAGCTTGCACAATGATTCGTTTGGAGATCTTCCATACAAATTAAACGCTAGTTGTTTTTGCAATATGATATTTTTCAACCCAAATAAAAGGGAATTGTTGTTGGCATTCCAAAAATTTCATTTTGAACTCCAAACTTTCTATAATTAGAAAGAAAAATACACTTATGAGGAGTGTAGAATGTGATTTTTGGAGTGCTAATAACATTTCCCAAACAAAAAACAAGGTATCTTTATAATTCATAATACCGTTACATTTGCCTCCAAACCAAAATTCCAACGGCCATGTTCTTTACTCCCAAAAATCCGACCGTTGCTTCCCGCTTCTTTCACTCTCTACACCCCACTCTCCCTCCAAAGCCCACCAATTTCGCCCACGAATTCAAAAACTCCACTCACCAAACCCTGCATCTCCTCCTTGAGCAATGCTCCTCCATGAGAGAACTCAAACAGCTCCACGCCCTAATCATCCTCCACAGCCTCACAAGCGAAAACCTCACCCTCGGAAAACTCATATCCTTCTGCTCCGTCTCCGATCCCAGAAATCTCCGCTACGCCCAGCTTGTGTTCGACCAAATTCCTGAGCCAAATAAGTTTATGTACAATAGTCTTATAAGGGGTTACTCAAATAGTAATGACCCATTTAAGGCCTTTTCACTCTACTGCCAAATGGTTGGTTCAGGTCTTTCACCAAACGAGTTCACGTTGCCCTTTGTGCTCAAGGTTTGCGTGGGACAGTCCGCATATTGGGAAGCCGTGGCTGTTCATGGCCAGGCTATTAAACTAGGAATTGAGTCTCAAGTTTGCGTGCAAAATGCCCTTATTACTGTCTATAGTGTTCGGGGGTTGATCCGGTGTGCTCAGAATGTGTTTGATGATATGTCTGAGAGGAGTCTGGTTTCATGGAATTCAATGATCGGTGGCTATGCTAGAATGGGTTCGTGCAAGGAGGCTCTGTTGTTGTTTAGGGAGATGAGAGATCTGGGGGTTGAGCCTGATAAGTTTACTTTGGTTAATTTACTCTCTGTTTGTTCACAAGCTTGTGATTTGGAGTTGGGAAGATATGTGCATCTTTTTATTGAGGTTAGTGGGATTGAAATTGACCAAATTGTGAGAAATGCTCTTCTGGATATGTATGCCAAGTGTGGGCATTTGCACTTGGCACGAAAGATTTTTGATCAAATGACTCACAAAAATGTGGTTTCCTGGACGTCAATGGTTAGAGCATACACTAAACATGGGCTCATTGAATTTGCCCAGGAGTTTTTCAACCAGATGCCACATAAAAATGTGGTTTCTTGGAATTCAATGATCTCATATTATGTACGGGAAGGCCAGTGCAGGGTGGCTTTGGATCTATTCCAGAAAATGCTTAATTCGAGTGTGGTGCCTGATGAGGCTACCTTGGTTTCTGTCCTTTCATCCTGCAGTCAAATTGGCGATTTGGTCATTGGAAGGAAAACCCATAATTACATTTGCAACAGCAATATTGCACCCAGTGTAACCCTTTTTAATTCCCTTATGGACATGTATGCAAAATGTGGTGCTGTTGAAATTGCCATGGACATCTTTATTCTGATACCAGAAAAGAATGTAGTATCATGGAACATCATTATCGGGGCCCTTGCATTGCACGGTCGCGGATCAGAATCAATCGGGATATTCGAACAGATGCAAGCAGGTAGAATCTGGCCGGATGAGATCACCTTCATCGGACTTCTTTCTGCTTGCAGTCACAGTGGTCTTCTAGACTTAGGGAGACATTACTTTGAAAAAATGAAGTCTACTTACAGAATATCACCTGAAATTGAGCACTATGCTTGCATGGTAGATCTGCTGGGGCGAGCGGGACTTTTAGAAGAAGCAATGAGGCTGGTAAGAGGAATGCCAATGAAGCCTGATGTTGTCATTTGGGGTGCTTTACTTGGTGCTTGTCGGATCCATGGAAATGTGGATTTGGGAAAGCTGATTCTAAAGCAGCTGTTGGAGTTGGAACTGCATGGTTCTGGACTTTATGTACTTCTAGCAAACATATTTGGTGAAGCGCACAGATGGGAGGATGTTAAGAACATCAGGAAACTAATAAAAGACGGTGGATCCATAAAGAGTAGAGCAGTGAGCTCGATCGAAATTGATGGCCGTGTTTACGAATTTATGGTTGATGACAAGAGACATGAAACTTCAAGCAGTATATACTCCATGCTTGATCAGTTAACAGATCATCTGAGGCGTACTGGGTATGCTCCAAGTGCGATTTTGGATATAGAAGAATCGTAGTTCTGCTGTATCTGTAAGTTAGAACCGTTACACTCTGATAATTATATATACTTTTAATTGTTTTTATATGAAGTGACTTGCAAGTAGCCAATGCCTGCTTCTGTTTTCCATGCCAAACCCAGTCGGGAGAAACTCACCTTAATTAAAAATAACTACTTTGCTTTTGGAATTGAAGGTAAAGGTTTGTTTAAATGTCAAGTCATTAGCACCATCAGACCAACGTTACAAGTGTTGATCTAATTTTTGGTTACTTACTTTGACAAGGTATTAGGCAATAGAACTGGAAACTTACTCCTTTGAGTTCTAAAGTTGAGTGTGTGAAAGGTAAAGGTGCCAAGAACGTAACTTGCAACTGATAATATGAAACTAAAAGTATCATTGAAATTTTAGTTGATTTAAGTAGGATATACAGCATATGATTATCATTGAAATTATAGCTAACATGAAATTTACTGCAACTTGAAGTAGGATATACACCATATGATCACATAGCAAGTAGAAATGTCTTCTACCAAAAGGTTTCCTCCTTTCAGGGGCCTTGATTAAGTGTGCGAAACAAAGCTTGAGCACCTGGATTCAGACTTCTCTCTAGTTCGAGAGCATGTCAACCAGGCAGAGAGAACCTAATACCGACTGATGCATCATGGTCGTTGCTAATAGGTTACTTGGCGAGTTCGAAAATTGGAAAAAGTACAATGAAAATCCATAAAAAATACTACTGTACGAACTGTTAGGGAGTAATGAAACTTGGAAGGATCAAGGATGCACATCGAACATGCAGGTCGCCTTGTTTTCTGGGTAAGTTTTTAACCAGCTATGGCCATTTCTTTCTGTATTTTTTTCTTGAGAATAATAATCTGTTTTCCTTTTCATGTCTTCAGAACTTCATGTCAAACTGCAGCTAATAGGCATATATATACGGATGGGAACAACTAAAACTTCCATACAAGTTTCATTGAATCGGATGTAGGGACTACTATGAAGTATTAACAGTAATATTTTGTTCCTTTTTATTCTATCCGATTGTGTGTTGATTTACTGAAATATTTTTGGATTAAGGGGCATTATCCATTCCTTTTGCTGCAGTTCAACAAAAAGCCAAAACCCAAGATCCAATCTTGCAAGGAAAGAAGAAGGAAAGCCACATCCAATCTAAGGTATCTCATTTCTTCTATATTTTTAATGATCTCAATCATCCTGTTGAATTCATAGGACGAGTAGGGGACACAAATTCTTTGTATTTGTTGAAAATCTGTTCAATTATTTAGTACTGCATTCTTTGTATTCTTTGATTATGCAGATTGCAGAACCTATTTGACCAAAGCTCGAGTCTTTCCAAATCTTAAGGAGCTAAAGAGAGGTGGGGCCCTGACAGCCATGCATGGATAGAGTGCTCTGCATCAAGAACTTTCATGGTAATGACGTTACCCTACTTTTTTTTTTATCAACTTTCTGCAATCTGCACTGATAAAAATAATGCTAAAGCGATATGTTGTCCAACCTTTAAAAATGTTCAAATCTAACAACTAGGGTTTAAGTATTAGTTAGATCGGATTCTTTTCCAGGGTTTTGTCTGAATTCATAATCCACACATAATTGAGTAGGATTTGCTTTTATCCGGTTGGTGGGGTTCATTGTTTGTGTTGCCAACATCTCTGCTCAAAATTCAATTAATTTACCGAACAGAAGAAAATAAAGTCCAAACCAGAAATAAAAGAATGCAAATCTCATAACTCATTCAAAATAATAATTTCTTATTAGAAAATTGATCCCGAATCTGAATATATTCTTTCTTTTATATGTTGAACGAACGGAGGTCCGTTCTTTATCGAAATACAAAGAATCTGAATATATTCTTTCTTTACATATAGTCCGGCTATGAAGCACAGGTTAGAGAACGGGGAGTCGGTAATGTGTCAGTAACACCGTAACCGTATTTTTTCTTTAATAAAGAACGGACGTCTTACGTAAAGAGTACTTGTATTTATATATACATCTAGGCCTTAGCCCAAATGAAAGCAGAGCCCAAAACAACATATGTTTCCAACATGAACTCATAAACAGACAAAAAGGCCAGCAAAGATTTGAAAGGGAGATGGTGGTGAGAAAGGAACAGAAAAAGGTCATTTGTCAAAATAATTAAGTTTTTTAATGACAAATGATTAAAAACACAAAATATTGTTTCTTTTAAAAAATTAACTAAATGATTAAAAAACACAAAGGCATTGGGTGTTAGACATATTTTTTGGGGTCAAAAAGTGCATGATTGAAGCACTTATTTTAAGAGGGATACATGCACGACTGTTTTTGGTGGGCGACTGGGAGAGGTGCAGAAGAACACTAAGAAGCTTCAAGGAAAGAAGGGTTAGGGAATTGATGTGGGACATTTTAATAATTAAGGCCCATAAAGTAAGGTTGATAATTATAATAATTATAATCAAAACCTAAACAATTAGTTAGTAATCTTTCTGACAAACTATGGGGTTTTAGCGGTTTTGGGTTTATTAAATTTAATTAAGCATACAAGGGGGCCAAGTGGGTAGCTCTTTTTTTCTAAAATGTAAGACATTAACATGTATAAAAAACAATTAACAAAGACCATCACAATTCACGAACTCCATTGCCTGTGTGGTATTGTCAGGGTTTGAGCCCTTTGCTGACAGTTTCATACTTAATGGTCCTTGAGACTACTCATGTCCCACGTCATCGTACTAATAGAAAATTTAACAAAATACTAAAATAATTTACGATGAACAAACACATGACCCACTTCAATCGATTTTCATCATTAAGGACTAAACTGAAGAATTACATCAATCTCAGATACTATTTTGACTAAAAAATCAATATATTATTTCATTTATTTGCCAGTAGGTGCATGATCCATAATTGGTGATCATTCTCTCTCTCTCTCTCTCTCTTCCAATAGAACATGAGCATGCATGCCAAAATGGAAGAAATCCTGGATTTCCTGTTTTCTTGTCTTTTGTTTAAGAATGTGTTGAAATTAAGTGTGGATTTGGATGTGTTTATATCATTTGTCATACAAGCAAATTAAAAAACTCAAATCTCTCCTCCAACCACACTTTGAAGTTTAACCCTCTAAAAATCCAAAATGTGAAATTTTTTACAATTACATTCCTCTAGTCAAAGTATTGATGTAAGTTGTAACAATGTCCATGAAATTCAATGCCAATGGATTCATATAACATGCTTAATTGATGATAATGTATGTTGATGCAGGATTTGACATGCTATGCTGTTAAATTATGTATGTAAATCTGAATTATTTACTTCCATGCAAACTATTCAAATAATCTTCAAACTTATGAACAATTTAGATTCACCAATTCAATGAATGATAATATTGTATTGTCGTAGTATTTATATGGATATACACATTCAAATAAATGTCCACTCAATGAATATTTTAGATTCAATAAAAGGGATATTGATGACATATTGTTGTTGAATTTAACATGTTATGTTGTTAAATTATCTAACTTTAATATGATGCATATATAATTTAGATTCATAGTCCGACAACGTAAGAAGAAAGACAATGAATACAAGACAACATCCTAGTTATCATACATACGTAGTGATAGTAATTAAGTGATAGTGGCACAACAACACTAATAAACATATACAAGAATTGTAGTTAAAAGAGAGGAGGTTTGTGGATTGCAGGATGATAAGAGTCGCCGGGGAAGCAGGAAAGGGCGGCGGACTTTGGAAGCGATTAAATAAGTTAAAAGAGAGGAGGGCTGCATTGCGCCGGGATGCATGGGTGAGCATGCAGATTGCAGGCGCAGTCGGGGATCAAACCAGCAAACCCACGTCAGCTTACGCCATCGCTTGTCTTGTCGGATACTTGATTCAATACCTTGCAATAACATATATATATTGTATGTACCATTTTAACGTCATTATATTATCTACTTATTAGTTATAGCTAGGGGTGGTTCGGTATGGGATACCGAACTAAAATCTTAGAGACAATTCCCAAACTGAAATTTTCGGTATTCTTAATTTCAAGATCGATCTCAAACCAAAATTTCGGAAATCCCAAAATAGTTTCGGTATTTCGGAACAATCGGGAATCCCGAAATATTTTTGGGCTTTTGGTGATTCTGTATTCCCAATTCCCATAGCTGTTATATTTTCACTGAAATAATCAGGTACATACTTCAAACATTACTGTGCTTCTTGTTTTCCTTCGTTTTGTGATTGTTCTTCCATTACTAGTTTCAACTTCATACTCCCGATGAGTTACATGGCATGAAGTTGAGGAGGTAGAAGGAATAATGCATGAATTGATCAAACGATATCGGTAGACAACATTAAACTCTTAAACAACCACCAGTGCAACCGCGGATAAGTTTTATATGATATCTTTTTTTTTGGTATTGAGATGCATTTATAAGTTTATAACCTATAGAACGGAGTTGTTTTACCATTTAAGAATACACTAGAAGGCAAACCTATTACAAAAGTTACATACCTTTTTGTGATTTTGTCAAATACTCATTACACTTATGGTGTTTATGTTCTTTACTTTCTTCAACAACTTTGACACTGGTGTTTGTGTTACTTCCAATAAAAGTGATTCCTATCAATGAAATAGAATAACACATAACACATATCATAATCATTCATATCTTTATGTTGCAGGGATGAAAAATAAAGTAACATGATTTTTTCATTATTGGGAAGACAATCCCGATTTTTGTACCGAAATTTCGGTATTTTTTCAGGATAGCATCCCGAAAATTTTAGGAAAATCGGTTTGGGATCGATATTTTTTCAATTTGGTTCGGAATTTTTGAGAATTTTTTTCCATCCTTAATTATAGCTTGCTTGTTGCAGTTTTCATGGCTACTCTTTTCCACGTGCCTTCTCTCGTGCACTGTAGCGACGCACCACCTCCTCCCGCACCCTGCCACGTTTCCATTTCTCTTCATTCATGCATTCCAATTTTATATTTTTCTTCTTATTTGTTCGTTGGAATTTTCCCTGCCCTTGGAGTTGGGCCAAATTTTGAACAATGTGCCTGCAAAGTGCCAAAAGTGCAAAGAAAACGTTGCAAGTTCATCAGCCACCCACTCTCTTCTGGTCCCAATTATTCACATTTTGTTGTCTCTGAAATTTACCCCATCTCTCTCCCCCTAAATGGAATAGGATCCCTTCTGATATTCTTTGTGAGAGATTTGAATGATCAATTAATAGTATTTGTTTATCGTACAACATATAATTAGAAATTATTTAAAAATTTTAATATAAAATTAAATATAATTAATACCTAATAAAAATTAACCATATGATATAAAATAAACGAACAAAATTAATTGATCATCGAATCCCCACAAAATAATTTTAATTTAAAATTAAATATAATTAATACCTAATAAAAATTGATCGTATAATATAAAATAAACGAACAAAATTAATTGATCATCGAATCCCTACAAAAAGAATCTCGAAAGTATCCTTGTCCCCCATAAATTACAATTCACCTGCAGATTTTGTCTGGGGAGTGGAGATGCTTGAGTGACATGAACCCTTTCATGCATGTGAAAAATCTGTGTCCAACAATTGGAGTTTTAGCAATGTGAATTGTATGTGACAGATTTCGTTTGGTTTTTTGGGGGTCGCAATTAGAATAAAAAATTCGGACTCTTCTTACTTTTGGTTTTATGTATGCGTTTCTAGGGTTAATGAGCCAAACATATTATTTATAGAATTAGGCGGATATAAAATTTTATTATAAATGAAGAAAAATATTCTTTGTCGTATTAAATATTTGTTATTTTCATATTAGTATATTAGTAAACGCAAGATATGTCAGAAATGAAAAGGAAAAAAAAAACGTAGTTCTTATCTTCGCTCTAATACTTATCTTCACAAATATCTGCATGCTATTTTTCAGCTTTTCTGTGTTCTTTCCAGGGGTAACTTTGTAAGGAGAAGCATTTTGTGACTTTTTATTCCATTTAAAAAAGTACTCAGAGTTCCTTTTACCTAGTGGAATCCATCCAAAGGTAGCACATTAGCATATATAGGGCCGTATACCTCTTAAAGTCTAATCTAACATCTAAAAGACCCCTAAAGTTTAAGCATAAGTGACCAAAACCTTCAAGGCTAAGGAAGGTTAAGTTCCTAACATCTTTGGTAAGTCCAAATTATTCCAGGATTTGCTTTTTTTTTTCTTTGTTTTTTGGTACACCGATATATTTCATACTAGGGGAGGGAGAGTTCGGCTAAACCACACAATAGGCAACCTAATTTGGTATCGAATTCATCATTCACAAGATTCGAACCTAAGATCTCTCACTTACAAGTGAAGATGAATAGCACCAGATAGTAGTACTGCGTGGCTTCCAGGATTTGCTTTTAAACATTCTTTTTTTATATATGCCTTCTTCCAATGGTTAATGGTTTTCACATTTCTGTGTTCTGGTTTTAATTCCATAGCAAATCAAATCCATGATACTCTCTACATTTTATTCTTTAAAAAGCAAACTTCTATCTGTTTCATGATTAATCATGATAAAAATTGAGATTAAATACTAATTAATTAGTTACAAAATCAATTGGTGGACCCATTATATTCAGAAAACAAACAAAATAAATAGTAAATAAATCTCCCACAACAAACACAAGGGGGAAGTGGAAAATATAATTGGAACCATATATTAATATTAGCACCCCCCAGAAAAAGGGGTTGATATAAAATAGTAGTACCATCATGATCATGATCATGCTTAGGTGGGTCTCCCATTCCCATAATCCCATTATCCATGAAATGGCTTGCCAAGTTTAGCAGTTCTTCCCCCTTTTACAAGCATCCTTTTGACATCACTCTCTACTTATAGAAACTGTGCTAATCTCATGACCAACCCTAGTCCCTACCCTTGTAATTTTATACAACCAAGAGGGCAATTTAACTAAGGACCCCAATTCCTTTCTTTTTTTTAGAAGTGATAAGTCTTTCATTGATCAAATAAAACAAAGAACATCACACTTTCTTAATACAATTTTATGTTTATAAACGCAACAGAAAGAAAATTAAAACTTACTCCACATAAACCCATCTAACCAAACGGAAAGGTAACTCTTACGAAGATAAAACCTTACACCATGTGTTGATGATGAACTTGTAAAAGACAACGCTTATTCGGCAAGAAGCCTTGGTATGAGACATCTCGAAGATGTTCCTATAGTCTTTTGCTAAGCGAACAGACAACAAAATCACAACACAGTACAAAATAAACTCTTCAATGTATGATTCCTCGATCACATGAAAGATAAACTCACAAGGCCTAAGCCCTATGAGTCATCAAACATAACACTGTCAAGACACACAAGGTAACTATCATACCATCGCCGAAGAGTTTGCAATGACAAGAAAACATGATTGTGAATCCCTCAAAGCGCTGAAAAGACCCCACGAAAGAAAGAACACATCATTCATTCATAGCTTGCAATCACATGCAAAAAATCTTGTTATGAGTTACCTCCAACAAACGTCAAACCTCTTCTGCATAATCCTTGCCAAGCACACAAATCACAAAATTACCTCCTCAACTTCGAATAACAATGGTCGATTTAAGATTTGAAATTAACCAGTAAGTCATATATGTTAAAAAAAAATTCTCCTCCTCGTAAATTACCCCAAAAGCCAAGACTAAAAGCCCGAGTCAGTGGCGGCAGGTGCTTTAACCGCAAGTTAATCCCAATTCTAAACTCCCAGAAAATATTTGACAAAAAAAAAAAAAAATTAAAAAAAAAACTCTCAGAAAATCGATTACAACCTGTCACCACCACCAACTTACAGCCTGGCTGTGGCCAAAGCCCACTGATAAAAAAAAAAACAATGCTTAGCTAAACGACAAATATCCTACGTGGTATCCAGGTTCAAATTACGAGGCCCCACCACCTCATTTTCTCTCTATATATTGACTCTCTTTCTTCTCTACACCCTCCGTGCTTCTCCCTCCTCCACCAAATATCTCATGCCCTCTCTCTAATTTCTATCTCTAAAAAGACACACCTCAAATTCTCAGCCATTTTCCAACGATCCGATTTCGACCCAAATGGGTATTTGCAGCTCGTCCGGGTCGACCCAAGTGGCCACCGCCAAGCTGATTCTACAGGACGGAAATTTACAAGAATTCCCGTACCCGGTAAAGGTTTCCTACGTGCTCCAAAAGAACCCCACTTGCTTCATCTGCAACTCCGACGAGATGGACTTCGACGACGTCCTTCAGGCCGTCAGTGATAACGAGGTGCTCCAGCCGGGACAGCTCTACTTTGCCTTGCCGCTCAGCTGGCTCAAGCACCCGCTGCAAGCGGAGGAGATGGCCGCATTGGCCGTAAAAGCCAGCTCCGCGCTTATGAAGAGTGGCGGCGAAAAATGTGGATGTCGCCGGAATTCGGTGTCTCCACTGATATTTTCCGGCGTGGAGGTGAAGGATCGCCGGAGAGTGGTGGCCAGTGGGGGGTCGAGGAGGCGGAGGGATAGTGGTGGAAATGGACGGTTTGCGGCGGAGTTGAGTGCAATTCCGGAGTAGGGGTAGTTTGGGAAATAAGATGGGTAATTGTGTAAATAGATTGTAACGATTTGGATGTGATTAGTGGGTGGCTAGATTTGCTTAATTTTGTTTAGGAGTTTAATTTGTTTGTCCCCTAACCATTTTGGGGTGGTGTTACAATTTTACCCTGATGGTTTTGAGAAAATTGAATTAAAAAAAAAAAAAAACAAACAAACAAAATGTTCCCCATAAAAACGAGTATTTTGGTGTCCAAAATTTAAATTTGACAGAACAGATGCATATACTTAATTAAGTTAATTTTTGGAACTCTGCGTACGTTACACTTCACCAAATATTAAATAATTAGATAGCTATCTCAACCAAATATTAGTTTATTTAGATGGTTATCTCAAATAATTAATGTGCTATTAAAAAATAATGTTGCAAATCAAAATAACTAAAAAGTAACAATCACGGAGTGTAGACTAGTTGAGGACGAATTTTAGATCTATATTTCACATAGCACGTTCGAGGTTCAATTGCGAGCGTTAATGAATCATATGATTGTGGTTAGGAGAAGTTAAATGTCTGTGAGCTTTTTGAGTCTAAAAATAGTGAATTACCGTTATGAAGCCATTAGCTGGTCTGTGGTGAAAAAAAAAACCCTAAAAGGGGTGTAGACAAAAGCAAAAACCAAAAGGGTACTTCTTTGTTTGTAGGAACCAAAAGTGTACTTAAAATAATTTAATTGATGATGATTAAAATAACTTTATACCATGTCTTTGGGAGAATTGAACAGCATATGCTCGTACAAGAAGAAAGCCAAATCAATTTGTACTAAAAAAAGTTAAATTCGAGTAGAGTAATATTTGGTTACACTCGACTCGTTAAAAGTGTTACTTATCTTACTCATCTTGCTTTACACATAGGTGATGTTCGTGCATGATTTGAGAAACTATCGGACATTTTTTTGGATCTATTACCCTCTTGATTTTTACTTAGTTGCATTTCTTATCCAAATTACATTTGCAATACAAATAAAATCTGCGATTCAAGTTTAAGGTTAATGCTTTGGGTTTGAACTTAGTATATAGAATTCATGTAAGAAAGATAATAATTCTAGCAAAAGTTGAAACCAAGTAGTTTTAGACGCAAATCTAAGATTTAATTCGAATATGATTATGATAAAATAATTTTTACAATGTGTGTAATTATATGTGAATGTACACTTAACACTGGTGTATCCATAGACACATAACCAAAGGGAAAATAAGTTAATTAATTATTAAAGTAAATGATATATTTATTTATTTAGTTAATTAATTAATTAATTCAAAATATATGAATGATTATGTCTTGGGGGAAGTTGCAACTTTCCTAAAACGGTATTTCATCTTTATATATTCACTGAACCCTTCGTCAAAGTAGATCATAATTCCAAAGTATTCTTACTTCTGTAGCTCATATCTTTCACACGCACTATAAACTTCAGTGTCACGACGTCGGTTTTTTATCCTGTCTTAATATCCGACCCCAATTTCCATCACATTGATGTAACACTAAAAAGATAGGAAAACTAATGAAAAGTTAAAAAAAAATTTAATTTTAATAAAAAATGACAAAGAAATGTATAGTAAATAGTCATCAATGTAAAATGACAAAAAAATGACAAAAATAAAAATGAAAAATGACAAAAAAATGACAAAAATGAAAAATGACAAAAAAAATTATATTTTTACTTTTTTAACTTTATTTTGGTGTCCAAAATTTTGGACACCAAAATAAAGTTAAAAAAGTAAAAATATAATTTTTTTGTTAAAAATAAACAATACTGGAAGTGTTTCGTTAAAACTCATTGAAAAGATTACAATGATAGATGATTAATGATCCATTATTTTGGGGTATTTTGGGTACTTTATTAGATATTAGTAGAGCAATTACTTTGTGAGTTGAAAAGCTTGGTAGTAGAAGACCACCAAAGGAGAGATAAGAAGCAAGTGGCAATGGTGTTCAGATAATTGGACCACGATCCTCTCCTGAGCTAAGGATGAGGATCTTCCTCATTAATCAGTGTAGGCCGTTGGATGAAAATCTAACAGTTACAAACAGGGAATCCTTTTAAAGTTATAATAATTGTAACCGTTGAATTTTCATCCAACGGCCTACATATCTTGATGAGGAGGATCCTCATTCTTAGATCAGGAGAGGATCTGGTCCCAGATAATTAACAAGAGGCCGGTCACTTTTTTGACTTTGGTTTGGGGTTGACTGTTGAAAATATTAGATATTTCCGTGATGGGGTTTGTGTGCATGGATGGTATAAAGATATTTGATGTCAACTACTTTATCTGTGTGTTTAAGTCACTGTGTTGACGGATATAAAGAAGGTGCTTTTACAATAAGTCACTTTTACGCGGAATCGGTACGAACTAGGAAGGAAAGAGACGGAGGATGAGGAGGAAAATGTGTAGATTAACTGGCAATTTGGCAGCTTAATCTCGATTAATTATATTCTTCACGAGGTTCAGTTATATATATATAGGGACCATGCATGCAGGCTGCTAATTAATTAAACAACGCGGTATTTGGTTAATTAGATTTGAAGGAACGAAAATTCTTTACAGCTGTGGTAGTAGAACTAGCACGTCGTCATTATAATTAGTCATCATGCAATGTATGTGTGTTATTTATGAGGGATTTATCACACTTTTCTTTTGATTGATCAAAACTTTTCGAGGATAAGGACATATCTCGGTTTCGTAAGATTGATTGTGTAAAAATATAACATGTTAGATGTTAGATGTGTGGCAAGAGAATAGTTATATACTTGTATTCGAAACATGTTGACAACCCTAAAAGGTCATTAGCCGGGCACATTCTGCGTTGTATACTTTTTGTTTATGTTTTGATCTTTTCAGATTGACAATCTAACATAACGTGTTAGATTGCATGGCAAAATAATATTATCTGCAGAGATGCTGGCAAACCCTGAAAAGTCACTATGCATTATTCATCGTGCCCTCCTAAGAGTTTGGACTAGTAAAAAGCTTAAATTTTAGTTTTTGACAATGTCAAACCTACGATATAACGTGTTAAACCGACTGACATATAAGATGTTGATGATAAACGTTAGAAAATGATATTAAAGATTGTGAACAGTAAATTACTGAAATTGCCATGTGTACAACATCCAAAAACTATGGATGCATCATGTTGAATATAGGACGATATGACGTATTAAAATGACTAACATATAAGATGTTGATATAAAACGTTAAAAAATAATAGTAAAGAGTGTGAACGGAATATATATTTACAACATTGGCATGTCTAGAACGTCCAAAAACCATGCCTGCATCATGATGAATATAGTACAGCTAGACAATGATATGTCATGGGTCTCGTTCTTATTATCTCTTGGCCTCGTTCGTGGGGTGTGCTTTTTGTTTGCCATATTGTTTGGATCTGTAATAACACCGCGATGTATCCATATATATATAATTGTAAGGTTTTTGTTAGCAGCTTATCAGAAGAATTGGCCACGACAGTGAGCGTTGTGTCTGCGTGTGAGTAGTAACAAGGGCAGAGAAGTTAGCAGAAGTAGAGAGAGGGAGAGCTGCCATTTTTACATGGGATGTTTTGTACGTTAGTACAGGGATACAGCTGTTGCGATGTGCTTAGTCCATTTGGATCTAGTAGGCTTTCCTTGAACACGAAAGGAATGGGTTGAAATTTCTTGGCTTCCTCTGGTGTAGGTATACGTAAGGTTTGCAATTAGGCTTATTAGTCCATCATTGAGTCTCAGTTAATCTCCTGAAATTGGTTTTGTCTTACTTTGCCATCTAAAATTGACATTTTCAACTCTTTTGTCTCACTTTACCCACTTCTGTTAATGGACTGTTGAATTTAAGAGTATTTTAGACATTACATTCTTTACACATTTATTTACTTCTAGCCTACACATTAAACAAGTCTCAATTTTATTTTTGAAACTCTAATTCAAACTCATAAATTCAACAGTTTCAACTCTAATTCAAACCCAAGAATTCAACAATGTGACATTTTTTTGTTTCAAATTGTGCACATTTGCTTTAAATGATTTTTTTTGGTTTGTGAAGTATTTTGGATATGATAGCTTAATGATATAATGATTTTGTTGTAATGAATATTTTTTCAATTGCAAAGTTTCGAGCCAATACATGGATGTCTTGCAAGTGAAATGACTCTACGAACAAAATGTAACCCTTATTTTGGTTGATACAATGATTTTGTTGCTCGAAAATTTTCTATTGACTGAATAATTTATTTTTGAAGATGTCCAAAATTTATGGGTTTGAATTAGAGTTTCAAAAATAAAATTGAGACTTGTTTAGTGTGTAGGCTGGAAGTAAATACATGTGTAAAAAATGAAATGTCTAAAAGAGTTGAAGTGGGTAAAATGGGACAAAAGAGTTGAAGTGGGTAAAATGAGACAAAAGAGTTGAAAAAATCAGGTTAAGGGGCAAAATGAGACAAAACTAGTTTCAGAGGGTAAACTGAGACTCAATGACATTTTTAGGGGGCATTCGACTGATAAGCCTTGCAATTATACAAGTTGCAAATATTATAATGTCTTATTTTGTTTGATTAATTTATAGGTGTCACTTCAATTCACGTAGTGCTCAGTATTAAAAATGTTATAATCATTAAATTAATGTAAAAAATTGTTAAATTATATATTTTTTTCAACTTCAGTCATTCATTTCGCATATCATTTAAATTTTACACATTATTGTCCTGAAATGGCTAAAAAATTAAATTATATGTTAAAGCTGCAAAAACTGAAACCAAAATTCAATCAAACAACACCGATGCCAAAACCGAGTGAGAACTTATAATAATATTACCTTAACTAAAAGAAAATAGAGTGAAGTTTCCTTCTAGTAAACAGTGACATGTTAAATATACAATGGTACGTGTGACAGGCTCACCAACACTGTACTTATGGTACAAAAAATAGTGTGGGAAATTATGATTGATGTTAAATATACAATGTAAAATGTAAAGGAGACAAGTTCACCTAAAATTGAGTCAATACAAAATTAATCCTGATTTATTACTTAATTAAAACACATGTACAAACTACACAAGTGGGAAGGAAGACCCCAAGAAGGGGAACAGCTTGAATTGTCATCATCATTCTACTAAGATTAGCTTGTTGCCAGGGGACCATTGACCAATCCCAACAAATTATCATCATTATCCAAAACCTAACT